TGGAGCAGGCTTAGTGCTTCCAAAGGATCTGCTCTGTCAGCTGGAACAGCTCAGAGTTATCAGCAGGTATGAAATCATTAAGATTGGATAAGACCTCCAAGACCATTGAGTCCAATCGTTTCCCCAGCACTGCTAAGGCCACCACTAATCCATCCCCACATCCCAGAGACCTCCTTGGGGAAGGACCTGGCAGAAATCCTTTGGTGACATGAAATGCCAGCTTGGTTTCTGCTGGCTAATGACAGAAATGTTGCCCCACATCTGTGCCCTGGTATGAGCCAGGCAGGAGATCCATGTGTGTAGCTACCTGTAACAGTCCCTCAGAAGCTGCTCCAGTCCCTAGTCCTCACCTGTCCAGACCCTGTGATCTTGCAGCCCCTGCTGGAAGAGCCTTGAGAGAGGAGCAAGCACAAAGTTGGCAGGACCCAGAGCAGTCAGTGCTGCAGTCAGCTGCTCTGGGCAGGGCTGGCACAGAACACTGGAATCCTTTTTCACCTCCATGTTGCAGATGCTGCAGTGCTTCCATTGTCTTTGCCAGCTGGGGTGAGGGTGAGGAGCACTAGGCCCTCTGTGGAAGGGGAGACTGGCAGTTCTGTGGTCCTTTCTGGTGTCTTTGCTCTTCCTCTCTCCTTCCCAAAGAAATGTTTGTTCTGGTGGGAAGGATGTGCACTCCCAGGGGGTGCCTTCAGGTCTGTGTCACCTGGGCAGCACCTGGGACCCTTGCAGGGCTGCCAGTGCCCTGTGGAACCAGCTGTGGGCTCAGGTGAGGGTCTGGCTTAGCTGAGCATTTCCTTCCCCTGAGCTCCACAGGGTCCTGTGGCAGCCCTGCCACTGCCCCTTTCCAAGGTAGGAGCAGGTAGTGCACCTCATGTCCACTGCTAAATGCCTTTGCTAATGTCCAGTGGGAGGTATTTTGTGTCTGTGTGAGTGGGAGTGGCTGTGTACAGGGCTGTTCCTGCCCTGATTTGGTGTGTGCAGTTCCAGCTTCACGTGTGGGCTGGCGGGAGCCATCGCCTCCAATCCCGTGGACGTGGTGCGGACGCGGATGATGAACCAGCGTGCCATCGTGGGCAGCACCGAGCTCTACAAGGGCACCCTGGATGGCCTTGTCAAGGTGAGGGGACAGGTGGGCACATCCCTGTCCTGGGAGGCTGGCCAGGTCTCAGCACCGCTCTGATGGGAGCAGTGAGATCCTGCAGTGACACAGTTTGTCATCAGTGAGGTGGGAGAGGGCCCTGAATCACTTCCCTGAGGCTACTGTCAGCCTGAGCATCCTCCCAGCCTCCTGGAACAAAATTCAGGCCATGAGGCAGTTAGCTGGGTTCAGAGACTGTTCAGAGACTGCTTCACACACTTGCACAGGGGCCTGTGCTCCCTGCAGCAGCTGGGCAGGACCAGTGGGGCACACGTGGCACTGGGGAGGGAGGTGGGCAGGGCGTGGGCCTGGTGTGTTTCCTCATTCATTTTTCTCTCCTCCCAGACATGGAAGAGTGAGGGCTTCTTTGCACTCTACAAAGGCTTCTGGCCCAACTGGCTTCGTCTGGGTCCCTGGAACATCATCGTATCCTTCCCTGTGCTGCTGGGAGGTGGTGGGGTGGGACAAGGGGAGAACCCTGCTGGGAAGGGCAGGGCAGAGCTGACACTCCAATGGGGTGCACTGGGGACCCTAATGGGCACTGCTGATGGTCCCTGTAGAGCCTCTGAGGGCTTGGCTGAGACCTTGCATGGCCTGGGCTGCAGGAGATTCCTGGATGAGCTCCTGTTTTGTAGGGAATCGTGGGGAACATTCTGCTGCTGAGGCAGGTGCTGACTCCGTGCAGGACCAGCGCTGCTGTGTGCTGAGCCAGAGCATTCTGCCTGCTGAAACTGGGTGGGGAGTTCACTGTAAAGAGCTCTCAGTCTGGGCTTGGAGCCACTTCCCTCTCCCAGTGGTCTGGGCAAGGCTGGGTTTGCTCTGGGTCCATTCTCCCCACTCTTGGCAGTGCCTGTGCCCCAGCTCTGTTCTGCCTGGGCAGGTCAGGTTGTGCTGCCTGGGCAGGGAGCTCCATGGGTGGGTTTAAGGAGCTCCCTGGATGGGTGTCCAGCCCAGCTGAATGCTCTACCCGCCCTGCCAGGCAGCTGCCTCACATCTGTCCCAATTCCTTGACACTCCCTTCAGTTTTTTATCACATACGAGCAGTTGAAGCGCCTCCCCTTCTGAGAGCTGCCTTCATCTCTCCAGAGTCATCCTCAGGGCTGGCAGCAGAGCTGTGCTGCCGCCTTCCTCTTCATCCCACTGTCCCCATGTCGTGGTGTTTGGTCCCTATGGGCTGGGCTCTCCCCACATGCATGGTCCCTGGAGCATGAGCTGCCTGGCACAGGTGGGAGCCACGTGTTTCCCACCCGGAGGTGTTGTGTGCCTGGGCCTGCAGGAATATCTTCTGTGAAGATCTGTGTGTTCCAGTGGCCTTTGGGGCACTGTGGCTCGTGGCTGGCAGGTGTGGGTCTCCTCCCGTGCCCGTGGGGCGAGGCCTGTGAAGGTGCCATTGTCATCATGTTTCTTGCAGAACTTGTAACTTCATTAAATTATTTATTGACTGGATGGCTTGAGTTTGGGTCTGTGCTCATTCACTTGCAGGGGTGTCTGCCCTTGTAGAGCACAGAAGTGTGGTTTTCACCATGCTATAGACCCCTTCATTCTCCATGTATTTATGTAAAAACAGTCTGTAGGATTAATTTCAGTAGAGATGTTTCTAAACCCAAGTTTGTTAGTATCAGAAAATGACCCTGTTGCCCTCTCAGCTCAATTTTGCCAAACCTCAGTCTCTTAAATTCCTGCTTATTATTACACTGTTTTTGCTTAAATCATTTGTACAGACAGGTACTGTGCTTTAAAGGTGAGCTCAGCACTTGAAAATAGTGGTTCTGGTGCTGAGGAGAATATTTTGGTCATCCTCTTCTGATTTTTGGTTATTTTTTCATGTTTATGACTATGGAAGCAAATGTTTTTTTTTATGTTCCTGCTCCCTTTCCTCTTTGTGGGGTGGCTTTGGTTTGGATGAAGGTCCCTGGTGACACAGCAGCATGTCCTGGCTGAGCCTGCTGTGAGCTGAGTGTGTGTGGAAGTTGTACAAGGAATGCTCAGCCAAATCCTGCTGGGAAAAATGGGAGGGAATTGGTGTTACAAAGTCAGAGCTGCCTGTAGAAGCTGCAGGGGAAGGGAAGGTGACTCCACTGAGTGCTTGGACTGAAATCCTGCCTTGAGCAGGGCTCTTCGTGCAGGGCCCAGCTCAGCCGGCTGTGCCAGGCACTGTGTGGGAGCCTGCTCCTGCACACACAGGAAGGGCTGGGGGTGAAACTCCAACATGGAAGGCTCCATGGGAACCAGTCAGCCCTCCCCAGGTGTTTAAGGTAGAAATACACGTCCTCCTGATACATGAAAGCTAAAAATGGCTTTTAATTAGTAAAGCAGGAGAGGGGGGCACTGGCTCCAGCCTGTTCTTGCTCTTCACTGCCCTGCCACTTCTCCCTTGTCCTTGATCTCATTCCGAGGGTTTGGACTCTGTCCAACATCAGGACAAAGGCTCCCCAAATGTCTCCCTAAGCAAACAGAAGCAGAGGATGTGTAAGGCTACCACAACCCTTCCCGTGGCCGCCCGCAGCGCAGAGCCCGGGTGTTTTGGAGGGCCCCCATTGCTGAGCTCCGGCCCTGCCCCTCCCGCCCCAGCCGCCCTGTCCCCAGTCACTCGCTGTCTGACAGACACATGCTCAGTCCTGCCCATTTCCTGGCAGCTTGGATCTTTCCAGCTCGTGAGGCAAAAGAGGCTTGTGACACTTTGTGTAGGGGCTGGAGCCGTCACTGTCAGACCCTGTGAAGGTCAGTGCCCCCCCCCCCCCCCCCCCCGGTAAGGGGTGTTGTGGGATTCTGTAGCACAAGATTGCAGAGGCTTTGCTTTCATAAATTTCTTCGTTACAAGTTACTATTAGGTAAATACACTCATGACTAGCAAAGTGAGTGGGTGTGTACATAGAATCATTATTTTTTACTGTTAGTAGCACTTACATAGATTTCACTGGAAGTATCACAGCAAAGTTCATAAGTTCATCAAACTCCTGCAGGAGTGAGGTCAGTCAATGATGGACAAGGTCTCCCTTCAGATATGACCTGTGTCATGGAGCCTGGAGCCAGCCTGCTGTGCCTGGGGATCTGAAGGGGTGTGCAGGGGGAGCTCCAAGACAGAGAGAGGCTCTTTGGGGCAGCAGCCAGTTCCTTCTGCATGGATCCATGAGTGGGCAGAAGACACCAGCTCTCAGAGGTCCATGTCTGCCTGGATCCAAGGCCCCTCTGTGGGTTGTGGTGGTTTTTTGCCCTGCAGGTTCCAACAATTCTTTGGTTTCAGCCTCTCCAAGGATACCCTGGGCTTCCTGTTGTGCTTGCCAAGGGCACTGCAGGTTCCCAACTGTGAATGCTGCTGTCCCAGGCTGGCAGATGTTTCTCCATCTGTTTGAGCACAGGTCCCTTGTCAGTGCTTTTCCTCATTGTAACCAGGTCACCTTCAGGGCTGCTGTTCCAGCAGGATGTCAGTAGTGTTCCCTTGGTCCCAGCAGCAAGAAGCTGTCCTGGGTGTGGCAGTGACCCCCAGGAGCCCCACAAGCTGTCCTAGACTTTGGGAACTCTGTGCTTGTCCCCATTCCCAGCCTCTGTGTCTGAGCAGGCACCGCTCTGCTCCAGCCCCTGGTGCCTGGGGGGGGCAGCCACCGCCCCGTGTGCCACCGTGGCAGCTTCCTGCCCAGGTGCTCCCTGCTCACCCCCTGCTCCAGGGTTGTCTGGAAACGTGGCTGGAGGGGAGGGACCTCCGCAGGCACAGCAGTGAGTCCAGCAGTTCCTTCTGCGGGCAGCTGCTGGCAGAGCTCTGCTTCCCCCAGAGACACCCCTGCTCCCCAGGCTCCTGCTGCTCCCTGGAGAGTGAGGGGCTGTGCCTGCTGCCAAGTTGCACCTGCTGAGAGGCCCCAGGTGAGTGATGGCTGAGAATCATGTTGGGGATGCACCATCTCTGTGGTGTGTCTCACGTGAGGCAGCCACGGCCAGCTGGGCCCTGGGAGCCATCCTCGCTGTGCTGGCCTCGCTCATCATCGCTGCCAACGTGCTGGTGGCCATTGTCCTGCTCTGCCACATCCAGAAGAGTGGCTCCAAGCGGCTCTGTTTCGTCCTCAATCTTGCCTTGGCAGATGCCATGGTTGGCTTTACAGTCATGGGCCTGGCCGTGGATGAGCTTTCCCAGCCCTTTCATGCTTCCCAGAAGTTTTGCATCCTGAGAATGGCTTTTGTGACCTCTTCCTGTGCTGCCTCCATCCTGTCCCTGATCCTGGTTGCATGTGACAGGCACCTGGCCATCCGGAAGCCTTTCCACTATTTCCAGCTGGTGACAGGCCCACGGGTTGGGCTGTGCTTGGTGGGGCTGTGGCTCTTTGCTGCCATCGTTGGCTTCCTCCCGGTCTTCATCCCGCGCTTCCAGAGGATCTCCAACCATTGGAAATGCTCCTTCTTCAACATCTTCCAGCCTTCCTACATGCTCACCATGTTCTGCCTCGGCTTCTTCCCTGCACTCTTCCTCTTCCTCTACCTCTACTGTGACATGCTGAAAATTGCCTCGGTGCACGTGCAGCATATCCAGGAGGTGGAGCAGGCGGGGCTGGGTGGTGGCTGTCCCCCACCCCGTGCCACCAGTGACATGAAGGCCATGCGCACAGTGGCTGTGCTCATCGGGTGCTTCACCCTCTCCTGGCTGCCCTTCTTCATCGCCAGCATCGTGCAAATGGCCTGCCCTGAGTGCTTCCCCTACAAAGTCATTGAGAACTTCCTCTGGCTGCTGGGGCTGGGCAACTCCCTCCTGAACCCACTGCTCTATTCCTACTGGCAGAGGGACGTGCAGCTCCAGCTCTCCCAACTGGCTGCAGGTGTGAAGAGGAAGGTCCTGCTCCACCTGGGCAACGGCCGCTGTTTCCCGGGCAGAGACACCAAGGCTCCTCCTGCCGTGTCCTGCCTGGAGCTCCAGGACTGACTTGGTAAGGAGTGGCTGTCTCTGGCTTGCCAGCTCCCCTCCTGCATTGTGACCATGAACTTGGGGCCTGCCAGCTGTGAAGGAGATCGCAGATGGGTGGGACCAGTCTGGATGTTAATTTCCAGGCACCATCATGGCCGGATTCCAGCCTGCCCACAGCCCCCAGCACAGCCAGTTCACCCCAGCCCCAGGCAGCCCAGGTTGCAGGTGGTCCCTGGAGAGCCTCTGCTGGAGCAGCCCCGTGTCTGCTGGACCAAGCTCTCCCACTCGCTCTGCAGGCAAAGACCCTTTGCCCATCGCTACCCATCTTCCCCTGCCAGGTGTGCACCCTCTGCCCCCCCCCTCTGTCAGGGGCACTGGCTCCATGGGCAACAAACCCCCCATTCCTGGGGCAGGTGTGGGCACAGGGACGGCTCTATGCCCTTGGCCCTGGCACCAAAGACTGGGCAGGCTGTGACCATCCCTGAGCTCTCCTGGAGCACAGGTGCTCCTCCGCCCTTCCCAAACCCACCTCTCAATTCTACACAGGGCCATTCCTGCTTTGGGCTGTGCCCACAGGGAGCAGAGATGGGGGGATGAGTTTGGGCATGGGGACAGAGAGGCTTGGCAGTGACCATGCCTGTGTGGGGGGGTGGTGTAACCCAGGGCAGGGGGACAACCTGGGCACTGCTGTTGCTGTTTACCCAGGCTGTAAAGTGAGTCAATGAGTAACTGGCTAACAAGGAGAGGGAGGATTGGCTGCCTCAGAGATTCCCACGAAGAAGAGCTGCAGTGTCCACCCAGCATTTGGGACTGGAAGGATCCCTGCACACCCACTCTTGCCCATGGGAGCCCCCCCTTCTGCCCTAGTGGCCAGATGGCTGCCCCTGCCAGAGGCTAAAGTTGTACTTAATTGCTTCTCATAAAATAATTTCATTTCATCCACATGGCAAGAAAACTTCCCTTAGAAGAGGCTTATTTGCTAAAAAAGTACACTACGCTGAAAATGAGGGTACTTTGTACAAAACAGCAGCTGCTCCCACCTCTGTCCTTGCCCCACTAGCAGACACGGCTCATGGCTGTATCCACTTGCATCCAGAACTTGCCATGAAGCTAAGGTCTTCCCCATCCTAGAGAAAGAGGCAAAACTGAAAGTGTCTTTAAAAGATTCCAAACAAGAGGCCCTCTGTGGCATTCCCCTTGGCCAGGGAAAGGCCTGGGACCAGGTGCCACATGGCAGACACCGTTCCTGGCTGTGTTGGAGGGACTGACCCTGGGGGAGGGCTGCCCAGAGCAGGCTGGCTCTGGTGGCTGCTGTAGGGATCTGGTAGGTGGATCCAGCCTGACACAGCTCTGGGCTCAGCCCATCATGTCCCTGCACCGGGGATTTGCTGCCGGTTCTTGGTGATGCCTGAGCTCTGCCGGCTGTGCCTTTGATCATCCTCATCATCGCTGAGCCTCTGCTTCCCTCCAACATCTTCCTGCAGCAGGTTCCAGTGGGAACAGGGACACTTTGGACATGGGCCTTGTGCTGCTTTCTGAGCTTCCTGACTGCCAGCTCTGCTGCGTGAGTCCATCACTGAAGGGCCAGGCTGCAGGTCTGAATCGGCATGAGGATAGGAGCCCAGGCTGGGCAGGAGCTCATTCCAAGTGGGACTCAGTGCCACGAACAGACTGTAGTGCCTTGGATGGGAGAGGGGACACCTCCAGACGCACCTCCAGGGGACACTAGAAGGGAGCCTACAAGAGAGATGGAGAATGTGGACCTTGAACAAGAATCTGAAGTGATGGGACAAGGGGGAATAGCTTCCTGCTGCCAGAGGGCAGGGTTGGATGGCATATTGGGCAGGAATTGTTCCCTGTGAGGGTGGGCAGGCCCTGGCACAAGGTGCCCAGAGCAGCTGTGGCTGCCCCTGGATCCCTGGAAGTGTCCAAGGCCAGGTTGGGACTTGGAGCAGCTTGGGATAGTGGAAGGTGCCCATGACAGAGGGTTGGAATGGGATGGGCTTTAAGTTCTAATTCAAACCATTCTGAGATTCGGTGACACTGTGCAGGTGGGGGACAAGGTGCAGCTGGAGGCAGAACTCCCCCTGCAGTGGAGCGTCCCTTTCTGGGCATCTCACTGTGGCACTGACCCCTTTCCTCCCTCTGCAAGCCTTGGCTGGAGGGGGCTCACAGGCTGGCACAGCTGGGGCTCCATCCCTGGATACATCTCCAGATCCCACTGGGAAACATGGAGGGGCAGCCGTTCCCTGTAAGGCCAGGTCTGCTCCCATCCCTCATCCCAGAGAGCCCCTGCTGCTGTCCCGCTCCAGCCTGCGGTGACCGCGGCACCGAGCACCGGCGCGGGAGCTTTGGGGGGCACAGGGCGGCCATGGCGGGAGGGGGACGGAGCCATCCTGCTCCACCGGCACCGGCAAGGATGGGGGGCGCCAGCCCCACTGCTGCCCTGCGCTGAATAGACGCCCTTGTGCCCGGCTGGTCTCTGCTCCGCTACCGGGGGCTCGAGGCGGCACCGGGGACAGCCGGGGGCCGCTCTGCCCGGGGCCAGGAAGCAGCAGCGGCGCGGGGGGCGAGCACAGAACCGGGGCGGCGGAAAGGAGGGCGACAGCAGCGGAGTCGCGGCTGCGGGGCCGGCTCTCTCCCGGTGAGGTGTTTACTGCTGGGATGTTCCCGCTGGGATGTTCCCGGTCCCGGTGCGATGGTCACGGTCGGTGTGGCCGGTCACGGGCGGTGTGGCCGGCCTCGGTAGGATGGTCCCGATCCTGGCGGGACGATCCCAGTGGGATTGGTCGCGGTCCCGGGGGGTGGGGCCGGTCCCGGAGGGGTGTGGCCGCTCCCGGGGGGTTGTGGCCTGTCCTGGTGGGATGGTCCTGGTCCCGGAGGGGTGTGGCCTGTCCCGGTGGGATGGTCCCGGTCCGAGGGGTGGGGCCGGTCTCGCCCGGCGCGGTCCCGCCCCGCCGGGCGCCGTCACGTGCCCGTCACGGTGCGCGCGCAGCGCCCGCCCCGCTAATGGGCGCGCGCAGCGGGGGCGCGCGGGGCGGGGCGTGCGGCGGAAACGGCGGCGCGTGTGGGAGCGACCGGGCCGGGCCGGGCCAGGCCGGGCGGTGAGTGCGGGGAGCGGGGGGCGCGGACCCGGGACCCTGAGTGCGGAGAGCGGGGGCGGCCCCGCCCCGCCCCGGCGGGAGAGGCCGAGCGGCGGCTGGGGCCGAGCTGCGGCTGGGGCCGGCCCGCAGCGGGAGCAGCCGGGGCCGGAGCGCTCCTCTGCTCGGGCGTGCGGAGGGGCCGCCCTGCTCTCCGCTGCCCTCCGGGCCGCTGCCCGACCGGCCGCGGGGCTCGCTGGGCAGGAGCGGCCTCCTCCGCACCTCCGGCCCGGCCGAGCCAGCCGGGGAGTTTTGTGGAGGGCCCGAACGGCCTCGTCGGAGCCGTCGAGACTTCGGGAAGACTGGCGGGGACACCTGCAGGGCTCCGGGTCCGTTTGGGTGGTGGGGAGGCTATGTGGGAAAGTTTATTCCACGTGGGAAATGTCTGTGCCACCATTTGGGTTCAGCGGTAGTTAAAATCACTTCCAAAAGGACATTAAAATTACATCAGAAAAGATGGAGATTGTTACGGAAAAGTCTGGAGCACCCGGAGCAGCTGGGAAAGGGGCTCAGCCTGGAGAAAAGGAGCGACCTCAGGGGGGAACTTCTGGCTCTGCACAAGGCCCTGACAGGAGGAGCAGCCGGGGGGGTCGGGACCTTGTGCTATGTCGTGTTTGCTCAAGGTGAGAGGAAAGAGGCCTCAAGGTGTGCCAAGGTAGGTTCAGGTTAGGAATTAGTAACAATCGTTTCCCTACCAGAGCGGTCAGGCCTTGGAATAAATTGCTCAGCGCGGCGGCACCATCTCTGAAAGTGTTGAGGCATTTGGGGGTGTGTTTTAGGGGTTATTGTGGTAGTACTGGTGGGTCTGGGTGACCTTGAAGGTCTCTTTCAATCCCAGTGATCCTGTGAAATCGGCACAAGGAGAAATTGGCTGCATATAAAGAAACTACTCTGGTGTTCCAAGAATGAGCAGTTTACAAAAGGGGTGGAGGGGTGAAGGTGGCTGCAGCTTCCCCCGAGATGGTATGCACCTCGCTGTGCTCTCTCTCCCCCATCCTCTGCTGGTGCCACAGCAGACGGTCCGTGGGCAGCACAGGGAGCTTTGGGGATGCTCGTGCTGGTGCCCACAGCTGCCGTGGTCTGCAGCTCTCCCACAGCCCTGGACTGTAACTCTTGTATGCACATGCATGCATCTATTTGATTCCTTGAGCATCTATATTGAGCTTCTTTGGTTTATGTGCTTCCTACTCTCTTATTTTCCTCACATTTTGGTGCTATGTGCTGGTACCAGTAACGTCCATCAATGTCATGCTGCGTGGAGATGTTTTTGTTCTTTAGTGCCATGTATTTGTTACACAAACGTTAATCTTTGGGCAAGCTCCTCATTAGTCTGCACTGTCCCTACCTCCCCTGTAGCTACATTAATTAGCCATTGTATTTTTCCATATTTTTCTGCAGAAAGTTGCAGCAGAGCTGTGAGACTGGGAAAGCATGGAGGTGACCCAGGATAGGAGTTTATCCCCCCAACTTGTGTTCCTTCTTACTCCAGCCATACTCCTCCCTGTGGGGGAAGCCAAGGGGTTGGGTTCTCTGTTTCTTCAAGGCTTATTTGAGGAATTTTGAGGATCTAATTAAAAAGGCCCTTGAGCTGAGTTGTTGAAAGCTGTGTGGGAGCTGGGGTGAGGTCAGGTTTCTGTGTTAAAGGTCATATGTTTGGAGCTTGTAGCAGGGATGAGGTTCAATCACCAAGTCATTGCAAAGATCAGGTGTTGCTACTGAGGTATTCTGTATACCTTCCAAAGATGGTGTGAGATTTCTCCCTTAATCCCCAACTTTTCTGCTGACATTATTTCAGTTCCAGCATGTCCATTCCATCCAGCTGCTCCACTCTCAGCCAGCAGTTCCTCACGCTGATGCTGGCTTTCCACGAGGCTCTCTTCCCATTAGTCCAAGCTTTTGCAGTGGGGTTTTCTGATGATCCTGACTGCTGACTCTACTGGAGGTTTTTTTTGTGTCTTCCCTTTTTTTTTTCCTCTTTTTTTTTTCTTCTTCCCCCTTTTTTTCTTTCCCAGTAGCTCTGTGTAGTTAGTCCTGCATCCTTTTGCCCATCAGCTTTCTTCTCCTAGCTTTTCCAAAAGATATTTCTGAAAACAGGAGCTGTTGAGCATTGTTCAGAGGTGGCACTTGCTGGATGTTCTCTCCAGGAGTGCTGAGGGAGTCTGGAAGGACAGAAGGGGATGGGACTGAGCTGCCTGCAGCTGCCTGCTCTGCATCCTCTGGAGCACGGGCAGCTCACCCCCTGGAAATGCCAGGGTTAGAATTCCTAGATGTGTGTGCAGAGGGAGGCTGGTTTGGCAGAGCCTTGTGAGCATCCTGAAAACATTTCATGGAGTATTTAATAATTTGGCGTGGGCATGACAGGTTTCACTGTTGGGAAGCACCGAGGGCTGTGTTAGGTTGCTGCTGGTGATACACATACATGTACACACATGCTGGTAAGGAGTTTTTTCCTTTGTTTTGGGTTACAACATTGAGTGTAGAGCACAGCTCGTACAGGACTTGGTCAAATTCCTCTGGTTTTGCTGCTGTGGCTGTATTTTTGTGAAAACTCTGCAGGTTGGTTTCCCTGACTGGGGTTGCTGACTGCTGCATTCTTAGGCACAAAGAAGGAAGGGGCTCTTTGTGTCTCTTGGTTTTACAGAGCCCTGCTATAATAATTAGCTGCCTGAAATTAATATATTTCTTTCAAATACCAGCTTCCAGAATCAAGGAAAGCGAGCAGTGTGCCTCTTACCATCAAGGATTACCAGGAATTAATCTTTCAGTGCAAAGGCCACTAATCTCGGGCATGCAAAGAGGGTTTATTGAGCTGCGTGCCAGTGCTTAGAGCAGTGATGGATGAAATCCCTGGCAAATTCAGATGCTCTGGCTGTTAATTGCCTCCCCACCTGCTCATCCGCCTCCATCCCCTGCATGCTGGAATCTGCCTCTGGGTGTCAGTCCAGGAGATGGATGGTGACACGTGGAGCTGCTGGGTGCCAGCCCCGGACCAGCTTGGGCTCTCACGCCTGGGCTCTTCTGCCTGTCCCAGGGCAGTTCTGCTGTCACTGGGTCCCAGCTTTTCTGTTGTGCTGGGAGCTGAGTGAGGGAGCTCAGCCTGGCACTCGGATTTTCAAACACAAAGCCAAGCTGGGAGCAGCAGGAGAACTGTCTGAATTCCTGCCTTACGATGAGCATCTTGCCATGTTCCTCGTGCAGTTTGCAGGTAACATGGGGGGGGGGGGTTCTGGGATTCCCTGCATGGCTCCTGCTGCCCTGCAGGATTATCTGGAGTTGACAGAAGTCACTGTCAAAATTGTGCTGCTCTCATCAGTGTGCCTGGCCAGCTCCTGGCTCAGACTGGTGTTTGGGAGGCTCTACCAGTGATAATTGAGCCAGGAGTACGGTAGAGGAACATGCACGAGCCCAGCAGTAGTTTTTGAACCTGGAAATTAGTTTCCAAAAGGAAATTATTGGGATCAAAATGTAACTTCAAAGCTTTGGTATCCCTCTCTTCTGCCTTCCCTGCTGGTCTCTTTCCTCTTGTGTTCTAATCGATTGCTGCAGATGTACTTTGGTGTCCTCTCAAGTTTATTTCTTGAGGGCTTAAAATGAGAACTGTGTAATCAATGGCACAGTGTATCCCAGAATCCAGTTTATTCCCAAAAACACAGGCACCCTGCTCAGATTGAGCAGTGCTTATTCCCTAAATTTGCCAATGTTGGCATAAAGTAAATCCGTATTTATAGTAAACCCTGTGTCAGCCCATTTCTGAAGTTCCCCTGATGCTCAGTAAGACAAGCCTAATATGTGTTCAGAGGAGCCCAGGGGACCCCAAAATGTCACCTGAGGAGTTGAGAGGGACCTGGGGCACCCCCAAGTGTGACCCAGTGTAGCAGATAGGGTTCCAGGACATCCCAAAATACGACCATACAAGCAACAGCCTGCACAGGCTTTTTGAGTTGAATTGAAAGGCTTTTAGGTGTGTGACAGTGTCAGAATACCTGGTAATAGTTGTCATTTGAGTTTTGGGGCAGAGGTTTATGTTTCTGCTGTTCATTAACTGGTTGAATGGCAGGAAAGCTGTTCCAGTGCCTGGGCAGAGTGAGGCTGCAGTTGGAGCTTGTTGCTCCAGAGCAGTGCCAGGCTTGTGGCAGAGCTCATGCCACCACTTAACTGAATGTTCCTGAACCCAGCAGGGAACATTTGCCCAAATCCTGAGGTGGCAGCCCTGTGGCTGCTGTGTTGTTTGTAAGTGGTCCCAGGAGTGTTTCACAGGAGCTGCACAATCCTGTGTTTTGGTTGTGATTTCCAGTGTTTTCTGTTGGTAATGGGAGTGATCTTAAAACAGCCTTTTTAGTTTGCCTCAGGGACTTTTTGGGGTTTATTTTCCCCCTGGTCATTAACGCAAATGGCCCAGCTCTGTTAGGATTGGAAAACTGAGTCCTGTCCCGGGTCTGGCATGGGACCCAGTGAGGATGGATACTTCCCTTGATTTATGCCTGGAACATTGAGATCTTTCCTCTCTCCCCAGCCCCTTTCTGAAGCTGTGCTGTGGAAGCTGCAGCCGTATTTAGCCCCAGCACAGACCTGGATTGATCCCAGCCCAGTGGGACAGTGGGCTATGCATTGTCAGTGCTGCTTAGGCCAGTGGGAAGCTGTGGACTCTTCCCATCAGGCACAGCTCAGCACCTGTTTCCAGAGGGGAAAACCACCCACAAGGACCCGCTGTGCTGTGGGAGAGGCCTTGCTCAGAATCGCCTTCTGCTTTCTTTCAGCATCCCCCCCTTCTTTCCCTGATCCATTTTTCTGCTGAGGAATCTTCTAGTTTTTATTTTTAAATGTTTAGTCACTGCATTATGGCAGTGCCTCATGTCTCACTCAATTTTTAAATGGACTCTTCTGAAAATCCCTGGAGATAGGAATAGGGAGATGAAGGGCACACTGACACCTGTGCCACATACGGCTCTAGAAGTGCTGACACCAGTTCTGACACTTGCTGGAAACCCAGATTTTCTCCTCTCCCCTTACCTTCTGTGTAGCATTTCCCAGCAAATGCAGAAATCTTATTTTGGCCTTTCCAGGCTGGCTTACTACAGGAATACTGAGCAAACCCCTGTGGTTTGCTCCTGTGCTAGCGCCTTCCCTCCTGAGCAGAGCAGCATGGAATGGCCAAGGACACCTCGTTCTGGTTGGAACGAAGGACAGAGGGATGTTCCTGTTTGTGTCTCCTGGCTGTACTGGCTGAGTCTGTCAGCTTTTAACCTGCTCAGAGCCCAGAAGAGAGGATTTCCTGCAGCTTCAGCTTTCTTCTGAGCCTGTTCTCTATACCCAGTGGGGTGTGGCTGAGCTTTGGCTGCTCGCTGAGATGGTAGGAGAGAGGCAGGTGGGTCTGAAAGTTGGCTGCTATCCACAGCATTTATCCTGTGTAGGGTGGCAAATCTAACATAATGAGGGGTTTCTTACTCCAGAGTGTGTTGGGAATCTTCTCTCTGGCTTGTTTTTATTTTTGGAGGAAACTACTGCTAGAGAGCAGCAAGCAAGGTCCCTTGCTTACGGCTTCCATCACCCACTTTCCATACTGCCCTTTACTGGGACATTTGCTTTTTCTCCATCCTGGTGAAGTGAGAGCAATGCTTTCCCAAGGTGTTTTCTGCTCGATGTTTGTTGTTAGGTTCTGGTGGATGGTAGCTGGTCCTGTTTTGGTGAGCCCTGAGGACAAGGCTCCTGTTCCAGGTCACACGGGTGCCTCCACCCAGAGCCTTCCAGCTGATCTGCTTTGCTTCTGACTGTCGACTGGCCCTGGGGACATGCTGGGACATTTGAGATTCTCATTCAAACTGGGGCTGGAAATCCTTGGAGTGAGTGGCTGCCTGTGCTCCCCAGTGGGTTGGAAAGCAATGGCTGGAGCAGTGTCTATTCAGGTGCTGGTCAGGGCCAGGTGTCTCCACAGTGTTGTCTGCAGCCAGAGCAGGATGTCTGTCCATGCTGGTGACACCAGTGTCCGGCTGTCCCACTGCTTCTCTCCATCCTTTCCTATTGCCAAATGCAAGGAAACTCTTGTTCAATTTTGCCTTTTCTATTGCATGGATAATACCAATGTGAGCATAGAACTGCTCCTTTTCTTTTCTCCTGCTGTCTTCCCTGTGCACGACCTCTCTATTTTTAACCTGCTGCATTCAGATTTGTTTTCCTGAGCCCTCGTGACCTCCATGATATTTTGACTTTGGAATATTTAACACAGCATTGTAGGCATCCTGCATGGCCGGGCGTGACTATTGTTGTTGCCAGCTGAATAGTCCTTGTTTTTTTGGCTGCTTCTTGCATTCTCAGCTTTCAGTGGCTCAGAGAGGAGCCTGCCAGGCTCCCTGTACCCACTTGGCTATTTACAGCCAGACCCAGCAGCCATGTTTATTAAGTTCTTGGAATCCTCTGGAACAGAAATCACAACGCTGCAGAGGGGGTGGAGGAAGGTTTGGTACAAATGCCTCGGCCCATCAGTACCCTGGGATGGGAATTGTCATTGTTGCTGCTCTCAATTCTGCTGATTCCCCTGGGAACACAGAGCACCTTAGAAATTGTTGTGGTTGTTTTTATCACTTTATATGGGTCCACAGAAAATATTTGTTTTTTTCTTTTTTTCCACTGTATTGGTTGTTCAGGGTGAATTTGCTGAGACAAAGATAAATCAAACTTGATATTTCAATGCTCCTTCGGCCTTGCATTCCTGCAAGTGCTGACTGTGACAGAAGGTGGAGTGAGGAACTCAATGGTCAATTCAGGGCACTGGACCCATCTCTTCAGCCTAGAGAAAAGGAGGCTCGTGGGAGACCTTGCTCTCCACAGCTTCCTGACAGGAGGGTGCAGCTGGGGTGGGTGATCTGGAGCTCTCTCCTTTTTGGGATGTGCATCCCAGAGCCCCTTCCATGTCAGTGACCAAGAGCAGCTGTGTGGCAGACTCCTTGCAAAAATTCCAACAGCATCTCATTTTGAAGATGTTCTCAGTTGTGCCTTGTTTTTTGGTAGTAAATCACTCCAGGTGAATTCTCAACTGGTGAAACTGAAATAACTCTTAACAGTGTGTTTCTGGACTGAAGAAATAGGGAAAAATTCTGTCCTTTGAGTTTCCAGGCTTGAAATGCTGATCAGCCCAGGGAAGATGCACCCCTGGCTTACACTGTCAGGCATTTTGATTTGTGTGGGTGGTAGAATTGGTGCTGGTGAGTAATATTTTATTGTGTAACATTCAGATCAGGCAGAGCTGGGGCCAGGAGTCAGGATTCCTTCAAGGCAAAGGACAGACGGATGTGCTGCTTGTGCCCAGAACTGGGCATTTCTCTCACTACAGTGATCCAAAAGCATCACAAACCAGTTTAAGTCAAATCCCTAAGTGTACTTTTCTCTTTCAGGTTTAAACCAGCTGTCCTTTGACCCTGCCAGCAGCGAGTCCCTGGGGCTGGGCAGCGCCGCTGGCCCGCGGCTGTCGGACAGCCCGGCCGAGGATGGAAGTGGCCCGGGAAAGAGGAAGAGGAGCAGCATTCCCCCAGGTGAGCCAATACCAGCTCCACTGCTGCTCCCAGCTCCATTGCTGGCAGGACTCAAGGGTTCTGTGAAGAGTGGCTTGGATCCAGGGCTGTGGCTGTGCAGGGTGGGCAGGGGGAGCTGTGTGCTGCTGCAGCCCCACCGCTGTGCCTGAGCCAGGCTTAGACTGTGGGGTCTTCCCAAGGAGTATGTAGTGATAGAAGAGTGGGGAGTGGCCTCCCACTGCCAGGGGGCAGGGATGGATGGGATATTGGGAGGGAATTGTTCTTTGTGAGGGTGGGGAGGCCCTGGCACAGGGCAGCTGTGGCAGCTCCATCCCTGGCATTGTCCAAGGCCAGGTTGGGTGAGGCTTGGAGCAGCCTGGGACAGTGGAAGGTGTCCCTGCCCATGGCAAGGGTTGGAATGGGATGGTTTTTCATGTCTCTTCCAACCCAGACCCTTCTGTGATTCTCTATACTTGTCCAAATAGATGTATTTTCCTAATTGAACAGAATCTCAAGATTAAAATCATGACCTTAATTAAAAGCAGGATAAGACACCTCAGGCTGAATGACTAGAGACATTCACATTTAAGATAATGTCATAAAAACAAAGTGTTAAAAGAACTGTATGATATTGTAATGTCAGATCAAGGAGTCTTGCAAGGAAAACTTCCTAGATGCCAGCTTCAGGATTTCTCACAGAGCATTGGGAAAAAAGGGAACACAGAATAATGCCTTTGCAGATTATATTGTGGCTGAAAACTGCAATCCCACCAGTGTGATTGGGGAAATGTGCTTGTGCTATGGAGGTGGGATGTTACAGCATGGACAGAGCAGTCTGTGGGAATGAGGTGGGAACTTCCCTAGGGAGGTTCCAGGTGCAGAAGGGAAGGATGAGGCTGCACCTGTGGCAGAAGGAAGGTGATGTGCAAAGCCCTCAGCTGCAGAAAGAGAGGGTGAAATGCAGCTGTTTCCCTGGAGAGTTAAAAATCCTTGAAGGAGAATCATGGACTTTACAGCACAGTTCAAGGATGGTTTTGATGAGCTGACAGAGCACTTCAATGGCAGTGGGAGGATCCTGCTGGGACAGCTCTCTTCAGTTCAGTGCAATCTGACAGTTTATACCTGCTGGATGTGTCCTTTGTTCCTAAATCTCTTGTGAGGAATCGGTGTCTCCTTACCTTTAATCAGTGCTCCTTCAAGGTCCCTTAGAGGTCTTAATTGCAGTGGGTGAACCATAACTGAGGTGCTTTAAGGTGTTTTCCAAGTCCCAGCTGCTCCAGAAGCACAGCACTGGTGGTTTTTTTTCTACTGTCTCTTCCCTGAGAGTGGGTTTAGCTCTGGTTTTGGGTGCTGACACTGCAGAGCCTCACTGGGCAGAGCTGAGATCTGCTCTAAGCCCTTAATCACTTTTATGTTCCTCTCAACAGATGGTGGCAGAAATCTGAGCCTGGACTCCATTCTGATGGGATTGCCAATGTCCGACCCGACTGCCTGGGCCACCGCCATGAACAACCTGGGCATGGCTCCCATGGGCATGACAGGACAGCCCCTCCTGCCTGGTGAGCTGAGCCTTCACTGCTCTTTGGGAACAGCCTGTTGCACTGTGGCTGGGTAGACACCCACCGTGTACACACTGAGCTGTGTTTGAAATGCATTCATGCTGCAAGTGATCTGTTTAGAGACCTGAATTGAGAAGAGATGAGAATACATGTATTTTAATGCAAATAATAATTTTGTGGGGTACCCTTAGGTATCCTGCAGTGGTGCAAGAGGAGGAGGATGCCACACAGAGGTCAGGAAACCAGTGATATCCAGGAGCATGTTACTCTAAATGGAGCTGCAGTGGTTGGTGAGGAAGATAAAGAGGAAAGCAACAGGGTAGCAAAATGGATATGGCAGAAATTAATGGAGAATTCTGCTCCAGAAATGACCACCTTGTAGTGTGAAATATATGTGCATGGCTGAGTCATCTTGTACTGGATGAAAGAGCTCCTACAGGAACAGAGCTGAGCTGTGCCTGATTTCCCAGCAGTGCAGGATGCTGGACATCAAAGTCCTGAATGGAACTGACTGTTCCAGTGCTTTGCTGCACTAAGAAGGATGTTTTCCCTGCCATAAGACCTGTCTGCTCACCTGGGGAGGGAATGTCTATGTTGGCAGACAGCACAACCTTTTCTCCTCCAGTTTGAACAGCCCCAACTCTCTCCACAGTAATAGAGTTCTCTCCTGTCCCCAAGGCCTTGTTTCACATTTGGCTTTGCTGTGGAGATGCTGTTTCCGTGTCATTCTCCTGCTGACATTCTTCCATGAAGGAAAAATCAACACAGGCCTATCCTATGGATAAGGATATAATTCCCGTGTACTCCTACATCCATGTTTTACAGTTGGAACAGGAATGTTTCTTGTCCCTTCCTCCAAAAAAGCCGGTTAGTGGCAGAGGATTGGCCTCAGATCTGTGTTTTTGCTGTGACTGTTTCAAAGTACTGAGGAAATGGCAGGTTCTTAGCTGCTGCAATTGCTGCACTTGTCTGCTTGGTGAGATGATGCCCTAAGTCCCAGCACCATTTAGATTGGAAAAGACCTCCACATCGAGTCCAACCTGTCACTGATCCCCACCTTGTCAACAGCTCAGAGCACTGAGTGCCGCATCATGGATACCTCCAGGGATGGGGACTCCATTCCTTCCAATGCCTGGCAACCTTTTCCATGTACAAATTCTTCCTAATGCCCTTAAGCCTGTGTCACAACTGCCTGTGCTGCTGAACTACTTAATACAACCAAACTGGGTCAGGTTTTCAACTGTTTCCATATGTCACAGGTGTCTTTTTGTGGACAAACCTCTGGGAAGGGTTGGACATTAGATGGGAGCCAGTGTCTACAGAGGAGAGAAGGAAATAATTTATTTTAACAGAGAAAAGTTACTTGACTGTGACAATGAGCAATGAAATAGTTTTAAAAGATTATTTCAAGGGCATAGATCTAAAGTTTGATGTTGGCATGCTGCTGATTTTCACCAGCATGCGTGGGAGTGTTCCCCGTTTGCTGTCAGAGCTCACAGTCACTGTATGACTCTACCCCCCACGCTTGACTCCCTTATTCTCTCCCCCATTTAGATTTTGATCCTGCTCTTGGAATGATGACTGGAATCCCTCCAATCAACCCCATGATGCCAGGCCTGGGGATTGTCCCACCTCCCATCCCTCCGGACATGCCGGCTGTGAAGGAGATCATCCACTGCAAGAGCTGCACTCTCTTCCCGCCTAACCCACGTAACTGTCTGCTTGTGCTTTGTCTCTATAGGGTATCCCTTTGTTTATATAAACCCAGGTGTGTGTGAGAAAAGGGCCATTCCTGGGACTCACTGCTGGCAAGAGGGTGACAGAGCAACAGGAAAAGCCTGGTCTTGTCACTGTTTGCCATTTTCAGAAATAGCTTTTTCAGCTGCTAGATTGATAAAGTCTGAGGAAAAAGCCATTCCAGTCACTGAGCGTTTGAAGTCCTCATGATTTGATTCTCATGTGCAGTGTGAGGTGTAGCTCAAGCACATAAGTCTGGAGTGTGTGCAGTTGCAGCACAAAGAATCCCCTGAGAATGTTTTTTATGTGTTATTTACATTAGGACAGTTTTTTAAGCTGATTTTGTACCACCTTCCATGATGAAGTTGGGAGCTCCTGGTGCTGCTTGTGTTCTTTGACAGCAGTTTAGTGAACCTCCTGCACTCAGGAGAGTATTTGGAGGGCTCTAGACTCCCAAGATCTTCTTTTTGCAAACATGCTGGTGAATGTGCTTATTTTTATCCAGCACCTCAGCAGTGCTATGGATCCACTCTGTAAATCTGAGTGTGGCATAGCCAGGTGTGTTTTGGGAGGAAGCCAGGAAGGTGTGGTCATCTCTCAGGAGAGGCGAGCAGGTGGAAGGAGCGTGTTCTGGCAACCCAAAACCTGACCTGCTCTGCTTTCTCTCTTCAGATCTTCCCCCTCCAGCCACGAGAGAGAGACCCCCAGGGTGCAAGACAGTGTTTGTTGGAGGCCTGCCGGAAAACGGGACAGAGCAGATCATCATGGAGGTGTTTGAGCAGTGTGGGGAGGTCATAGCTATCCGCAAGAGCAAGAAGAACTTCTGCCACATCCGCTTTGCTGAGGAGTTCATGGTGGACAAGGCACTTTACCTGTCTGGTGGGTGTGTTTGGCTCAGAGGGAAGCTTAAAATTTTGGGACAGAACTGTGGTGGTGTGTTATAGGCAGAACAATAGAATTGGGGCAGTTTTCTCTGATGCTGTGTCAGTTTGCCTTCTGCTGCTATTGCATTTCTGCTTAAATATACAAAAACAGCTCTTGAGAGGAAAGGCAGCGATACTTTGTCACCTGAAAATGTTTACAAAACACTGGGCTGAGGTGCAGAGTCTATTTTCATCTTACATAGATAAGTATTCAGCTAATTCTGTATATAGTGCCTAAAAAAATGGACGTTTGCTCCTAATGTGCTGACTGATGGGCTGGACTTACTTGCTGGTTGGCTTGTCCTAGTGGGGTTTTATTTGGCTGGTTGGCTTGTCTTAGTGGGTTTTTTTTCCCTGTTAGCCAAACCCTCTGGTCTCCTTTAGCCATGGGAGCCTCAGGTAAGTCCCCTGTCGTACTGACCAGCCTCCCTCCTGCCAGGCTACCGCATCCGGCTGGGCTCCAGCACGGACAAGAAGGACACGGGGCGGCTGCACGTGGACTTTGCGCAGGCGCGGGATGACCTGTACGAGTGGGAGTGCAAGCAGCGCATGCTGGCGCGCGAGGAGCGGCACCGGCGCCGCCTGGCCGAGGAGCGCTTCCGCCCGCCCTCCCCGCCCCCCGTCGTCCACTACTCTGACCATGAGTGCAGCGTGGTGGCCGAGAAGCTTAAAGGTGAGAGGGGCTGGATGGGCAGAGCTCTGTCTTCTCCAGGGGTAAGCACACAGCAGCTCTGCTGCCATCTTCCTTCTTTTGTCAAAAACCCCCTTGGCTTGGTTTGGAAAGACAGGAGTCTGCTAAGGAAGGCAGGAGCCTCCCCTGAAATGGAGAATGTAAACCCTCCCCACCCCTCTGAACTGCTATAAATTTTAAATTAAGGGGCTCTCAGGCAAAAAATATGGGAGCAGGAAATAACAGTTCTTTAATAGGGAAGAAAAATAAAAGGATAAAATAAACAATGCAGTACACTAGAACAACACTGACAGAGTCAGAACAGAACCTGACACCCTGTGGGTCAGGGTGTTGGCAGCAGTCCCATTGGAAATGTGGCTGCAGCCCTCCTGCAGTGTCAGGGTGGTTCTGTTGGAGCAGGGGGTCCTGTAGAGAAGGATGTATTCTGCCTCTGAAGATCCAGTGGAAGAAGAGGCAGCTGCCGTTCCTCTGGGGAATCCAGTGGAGAAAGCCGTGCTGGTGTCTCAAAACCTCTGGATTCTATCTGGGTAGCAATGCTTGGCTCCTCCCTCTGGGCAGAGCACCTCACAATGGGGTGTTATAGTTCTTATCAGCTATGCTCTGACATTCAATAGTCTGTTATCAGCAGATGTCCCCTCCTGGGGGAGGAGTGATTGTGGTCACTCAAAGGGAGAGATAAGGCAAACTGCCCACTTGACAAAAGATAGCTGCCATACAGATGGTAATAGAATACATCTTGCCTTACAATCTGGAATACCCCTGCGCTTGAATCATATTTATGGAATCTCAGGATGGAGGAGACCTGAAGGCTCACCTGGCCTGACCTTTTTTGGCAGAAGCATGGTCTAGACCAGATGGCCCAACACTGCCCAGCCCAGTCTTGAAAGCCTCTGGCTACTGGGGAGTCCAGCACTTCCACAATGCTGCTGTTGTGAAAAGTTGTCTCCAGGAGTACCCGTTCCCCCTCATCCTTTCCACGTGACCCTCTTGTAAAAGAGGAGTTTCCATCTTCATAGCCCTCCCCAGGACACAGTGATGAGGTCTCTCTTAAATCTTATTTTCCCGAGGCTGAACGAACCTGTTGAGTGCAGGAAACTTGTGCAAATCAGAACTGTTCAGTACAAGTTTCTTCCACATAATTTTGGTTGGAAGGACTAATGTAAGACCTTCTTGGAAGCCTGAAATTCATGTGTGATCTGATGATTTTGGAGCTGGAGGTCATCTCCTTTTACAAAAGGTTCCATCTCAGTAGATGTGACGTTTTCCAGTAAGTTTCTAGTGCTTGTTCCTCCTCTTGCTGCACCTCAGCAGGTGATTTGCTCATCAGCTTGGTGCTGAACTTGCCTTCCTTTGTACAGCCACATGTTTAGATCCTTCCCTGCTTCCAGGAGTTGTGATGAGTCACCTGAAGGATGCTGACCTTTGAAGGAGCAGTTCAGCTCCGAGGAAAGGACCTGACAGCTGCCCAGGCCACCCCAGAGCTGTGGTGTAAAGTTGTCCTTTCTTCCTGCAGATGACACCAAGTTCTCGGAAGCCATCCAGACCCTGCTGACCTGGATAGAACGTGGGGAAGTGAACAGGAGAACTGCCAACAACTTCTACTCCATGATCCAGTCAGCCAACAGCCACATACGCAGGCTGGTCAATGAGAAGGCGGCTCACGAGAAGGAGATGGAAGAAGCTAAAGAGAAGTTCAAACTGGCTCTCTCAGGGATCCTGGTGCAGTGTGAGTAGTGTCTCCAAGCTGGATGTTGGTTGTGTGGTGTAGGGAAGACTCTTAATTTCCAGAGTCTGGAGAGGCCCCACTAAAAGGGCTTTGGGAAAAGAAGTGGCAATCGCTTCAGTGCAGCTCCAGCTGATTTGGAATCACATGGCACTAACCTGGGAAAAATCCCTTGTGGTACTTTTTACTGGAGTAAGAGTCCACATCTGGGGGAAGGAGAGAATGAATTCTGAATTTGTTTCCTCTTAATTATCGTCTTGTTATTAGTTCTGTCATCTTTTCAACCCCTCCTGTGCACAAACAAGGTAAGTTCCTGGGAATCTGGTGCCTCAGCGAAGTGTGCAGGATTTGTTCGCAAAAGGTAGGACCAGCAGAGTGCTTCCAACACCCTGTTGCAGACCCTGGGTCTTTCAAATCCCAGTACTTTATAAGACCAGGAAATCAAGAAGAGGCATGGACTGTATTAATTCCAGGATGTGATTTGTAATCGTTTCTCAGACCATTCATTGCCTCTTACACATCCTTGCTTTAGTAAATCTGAATATTTTTACTTCATTACAAGTACCTTCTCCACAATTATACTAATTTTCTTTGAGCCCCTTGCCTAGCTTTTGAGCATTCTTAACTTTTGGTTTTGTATCTAGTAATTTTAGCTGTTACTTGTTTTTTTTTAATCATTATTTTCCTTCAAATTCTGTTAATGGTAAAAACTACGGGCACACGGTCCAGAGGGACTTACAATGAGCACTGCAGAGTAAGTAGTAATAGAGACTACTGTGTATCTCCACTCTCTAAAACCAAGACTGATAGCCACTCTTAGGTTACTCTAACGAGCAGGGAGATGTGTTTATTTTGTGAGAATTATGGGTACTGCATCACAAACATAGAAAAAATCAAGTGGATATGCTCTGTGCTGTGGGTGAGCTCTCAGCCAAGGAGAAACACTTTGTGTATTCCAAATCCTCTAAATTTTCTAGAGAAGCAGGAGGAATAAATCCCAGAACACTTGATGGCTGGTGCCTTTGCTTTGGTCCTGGTCCTGTTCCTGTAGCTCACACAGGCTGTGGCACTGTCCAAAGGCCAAGTCATGGTTGTAGCTCATCACCCCATTTCAGAGGTGAGTCCTGCCCCTCTGAACTTACACTCCCAGCCAGCCTCACACAGCATATTTGGATATTTTTCAGCACCTGTGCTGCCTTTTTTTTCCACATATCCTGCCTTTTTCCCAGCTGAGAGCAGAGCCCATGCCCCAGTTGGTCGTTGCTCTGTGAGCGTTTGGCACTGGCCTGGCGAAGCCCACAAGGCTCTTTCCAGACACTGAGCCCCCTCCCTGATGAGTGTAGCATCAACACAGTGCAGTGTTATGAGAAAAGGGGAGCCAAACCACCTGCCTGATTCCACTTTTTTACTCCTTTACTCCTCTTGTTCGCCCTCTCTGGATGCTATTCGGGCCCGATTTGCTGCTGATTTGCCACTCCAGTCGAGCAGATAGTGGCCGTGTACCATTCTGCCTCCAAACAAAAGGCTTGGGACCATTTCACGAAAGCTCAGCGTAAGAACATCAGCGTGTGGTGCAAACAAGCAGAGGTTGGTAATCTTTTCTTGTGTTAGATCCTCCAGCACGGTCTCTTGCTTGTCAGGATGTTGATGTTCAGTTTGCGCGATGCTCGCATGGATAACAACACCTTCCTTCACAGTGTGAGGTGGGAATCACTCAGGAGGCTCTTATGGTACAGGTAATAAATTTTCTCTTGGTATTTGTGTCACCAGTAGCAATACATCGAGACCTGTCTGCTGATGGAAGTTGTGCACAATAATAGTCATAATACTGATGATAAATGTTGTTTTTTCTGCTTGTTTTAATATTAAAGCAAGAAGGATTTCTAGAGAGATTAAAAAAAACCAGCAACTCTTAAGTTTTGTCAGAATCTTTTATCACATTTTATGTGATATTTCCACCTTGAGGTGTAAATAATTGCAGATGAACAGCCTGCAAAGCTTGAGGGAGGATGTTCTCATGTTTGTGTATTTATCCCGTGAAGTGACATGATGAAATGTGTGGTTTAAAAATGGTGATCAGAAAGGAACTGATGGAAGAATGCTTGTCACTCCCACTGCTCTTCCTGCAGGAGGAAGAATAGTTCTTAGTCCAGTAAGATTTTATAAAATCAGATAAGAGAGTCGGGCAGAATGTCAGAAATAAGGAAGCTAAGGTAAAGAAAGGGTGTCCATTGAAAGATGATGGGTGGGGAGATGTTTGTCCTGGGGGCTCTGATGAGATCCATGCTGCCAGCTGCCACCTTGGGGGTGCAGGGCCTTGCACTTGGCCTTGTTGAGTCTCATGAGGTTTTATCCCACTCCTCCACCCTGTCCTGTTCCCTTTGGCTGTCATTGCTTACCCCAGTGTAAATCTTCCTGTGGTTCTGGATTTGTCTGGGATATTGAGTTCCTTACCACAAACTTGGAAAGCAAGTCTATCTCAGCAAAGCCAGGAGGTGTCTTTCACCTTTAAGATTATTTAATATCCAGAGTGAATCTCAGCAAAGCTGAGAGGCTGCTGATCCATGATCACCACCAGGCCAGGGATGTGCAGGCCTGGGATCCCCGTGGGCTGGAGGTATCCTGGCCTGTGATCCCTATGGACTGGGGTGTCCAGGCCAGTGATCCTTGTGGACTGGGGTGTCCAGGCCACCTTCCTGCAAAGCTGCAGCCTGGAAAGACTCTGGATCAGGCCCATCCAGGGCCCTGGTGGTATCAAGCAGGTGGTTAATCCTCCACCATGCTTGAACACTAAATGCCCCTGTTGTCCTGGGAAGTTTCCAGGTGTGATCTCCCATGAGACTGTACCTATGGGACTTTCCAGATCCCAGTGAGTCAAACCTTTGTAGCAGCTAAAAGAGGAGCCAAGGTTTTTTTTGCACCTGAGAAGCCAAGTGCTGATTCAGATTCACTCTGAGCCCAGTGCTCCCATTCTTCCCTGCCTTCTGATCACTGGCTGTGGCTGGGGTGGGAGCTCTCTCTCCAGTTGGAGCTGTCTTTTGTTCCAAGGTAAGTTCTCCCAATGGGAGGAGGCTGTGAGACCACTGGTGAAGCCTCTTTCAGGAGCACTTCAGCTGCCAGGCTCAGTCTTCTGCCATCCCCCAGCTTAGGGACTGCTCTTAAAGGAAGGTGGAAGCCACAAGATGCAGCTTCTTAATACAGATTTTGGCAGATACTTATATATTTATTAAAATGCTGCTAGTATATGGTACATTTTTAGGTGTAATTTAAAATGTCTCTTACTTCATTGTAGATATCAGATGATGGCTAAAGGATCTCTCAGCCTTTTGGGGTCACCTTGAGGAGGTCCCTGTACATGCAAAGGTGCAGTTGTAGCTTGGTTTGCTCTGTCCCAGCTCAGGTTGGGACTTTTGGCTCCAGAGAATTAGGGCTGACTCCAGTTCCTCAGGTTTGCACAGCAAGGCTGAGCTGCCTCATCACAAGAGCAGAAGGGAGATGGAAGGGTCCGTAATCCCAGTAGCTCTGACAGAGTGACTTGTGCTGGATATTGCCCTTGATCTAATAATCTGTGCCAGTTTTTAAGTCATGTCCTGGAGTTGTTTTTTGCAGACCTAGATTTCAGGAACTTTTCATTCAGCCAACCTGTTCCTTGAAATCTGTATTGAAACCTTCTCTCCTTCTGAACCCCAGGAGATCCGTAACATCCACAATGATGAGCTGATGGGCATTCGGAGAGAGGAGGAGATGGAAATGTCAGATGAAGAAATAGAAGATCCATCAGAGATGAAAGAAACAGAAGAGTCAGGTAAAATCCCTTTTTAGAGCTCATAATGTGCTTCTCTTCAGTGGTTTCTTTCTGGCAGTGGGAAGCCATTCCCCTTGTCCTGTCACTCCATCCTTTGTCCAAAGTCCCTCTCCAGCTCTCTTGAGCCCCTTTAGGCCCTGGCAGGGGCTCTGAGGTCTCCCTGGGTCGTTCTCTTCTCCAGGCTGGACAGCTCCAGCTCTCCTAGCCTGGCTGCAGAGCAGAGGGGCTCCAGCCCTGTGATATCCCAAACAGCTGGAGCCATTCCTTTGTGTGCTCAGGATTTGTAACCCGAGCTGCTGAGCCCGTGTGCAGGGTGGGGAGGGCAGCCAGGGGTTCCTTGCTGTCCATGGTTTGATTGCTGTGTTGTCCCCAGCGCTGGTGTCGCAGGTGGAGGCGCTGAAGGAGGAGAACGACAGCCTGCGCTGGCAGCTGGACGCCTATCGCAACGAGGTGGAGCTGCTCAAGCAGGAGCAGGGCAAGGCCTCCAGGGATGAGGACACCACCAAGGAGCAGCAGATGAAGCTCCTCCAGCAGGCTCTGCAGGGCATGCAGAAGGTGGGCCTGGAATTTTTCATAGCTGGGGCTGTGCTGCAGGGGAAAGAGGCTGGGATGGGTGGCAGAAACACTTGGAAAAACATTTTAGCAGGATTTTAGCAGGATCCAGTCTGGCAGGGGGGAGCAACTTTGTTGTGTCCAGTGTTGCTAAAAAAAACCCCAAAGAAAATACTGATACCAGGGATTGTGTGTGAGCTGATAAGTCCCATGGAAGCAATCCATAGTTGAAGGATTCCTTGTATGCTCTTTACTGTGATTTCCAAAGTACCAAGTCTGTCCATAACCAGCTGAGTTAAGAAATGGGAAATCCCATCCATTGGGAATGGAATTACCGTCCCATGTTTACACAACTGTGTTTTTTTCTATGCTAATAGGCAAAGGTGTTTCTAAGGTGGATCCCTCTTTTATATTTCATCTTTGTAGTGGTTCTGGATGTGATCTGTCTGGTCTTCATGGAAAAGCCCTTCTAAATTTTATGGTCTTTGAACAATAATTGGTGGAAGGCAGGTTGAGAAGGTGGAAGGCAGGTTAAGAGTTTATCGTTTCTCTTCCAGCATCTTTTGAAAGTCCAAGAGGAGTACAAAAAGAGAGAAGCTGAGTTGGAAAAAGTGAAAGAAGACAAACTTAAAATAGAAACATTACTAGAAAACCTGAAGGAGCAGGTATGTGCCATGCAGGTCCTCCTTATGCAGTCCTCACCTTTGTGGTGAAGGACATCTGTCCTGCACTCCTGGTGAGAATGCCCAGCCCTGGTTTCGAGCAGTTGTCCTTAGAAAGTGAGGAAAAATTACTTGTCAAATTGCAGGATGTCTGTCAGGAATGGACCTGCAGTTGCTTCATGTACCTGTGAGACAATCTCAGCAACTGTATAAATAAAATAGGACTGTCACTGACCAGTGTACAGTGGTATCACAGCTGGAACGGGATTTTCTGCAGTGTGATCTTTTAAAAGACAAGAAAAAAGGTCTCAGTTATCAGACACTGATATTTACTACTGTGGTTTAGGAGCATGTTTTGATCTGCCCTCCATAAAGCACTTTGGAACTGGAAATTTTTGTGAATGTTTTAATATTTTTATTCTTGCTGGGTTTATTCCAAACAAAAATCCATGCAGTATTCCAAACAGAAATCCATAGTGCTGCTTCTCAGGTTTGATCGCCTCTGATTTGATTGTGGATTTGACTCTACACTTGCTGGGTTCTTTCCTCTATAGCACAGATACAATTACAAAAGAAGCATGAGGCAGCACTTCCCCCTTGGCCCACAGAGCCAGATATTGGGTTTATCTCATTTTCCATCTGTAGTCCCACTTTTTTGTGCCAAGAGCTAGGGAAGATAATGCCTTTCCACTAACTAAAAATGGTTTTGTGTATTCCAGTAATAATCAGAGCAGGATCTTCAAAACAAAAATAACAGATTATCATCAGTAATCTTTCCTTTCTTTGTCCATATATAGCAGAGCATGGCAGATGAAGAGGACAAGGAGGGAGATGCAGCTGACTGCCAAGGGAATGTAAGTCCAAGAGCTGCTGCTCTGGGATAGTGGAAGGTGTCCCTGGGGGTGGAACAGGGTGGGCTTTAAGGTCCCTCCCTGCCCAAGCCATCCCATGATTCTGTGATCTTCAGGAGCAGGCAGGCTGTGGGTTTGCAGCTGGGCTGCAGTCCCTGGCTCAGCTTCCACAGGGGCAGAGCTGCTCTTTCTCCTCTAGAAGCAAATGTGGAAGCTCAGGCCATTTGGGCAGAGCCTCAGCCCTGTGAGCTGAGAACTGCACTGGTGTAAGAATTTGAGCAAACCCAGGGGACTGTTCAGTTCTATCTTGGTCACTGGCCTCCCTCCAGCCCATCTCACTGGTGACTGGAAGCTCTTCCCAATTATAGCTGTCCACAGCTCTCAGGCCACTGGAATTCCACATAAAACTAGGGAATAAAAGCACGTTCTGCTTTTAGTGTAGCCACCATCTTTGCATTGTTGTGTTTATGTCAGGGATAATAAATTATGCCCAATTCTGTTTTAATTCAGTACCACAAACTCAAGTCAGGGACAGTCTGATCCTAAGCCCTGTGCAGCCCCATGGCACTTGATTAATCCCATTTGTGTCAGTGTGGGCATTTGGAAAATAAACCTCTGCAGCTTAATCAGTCATGGCAAGGCCATGGTCTGGTTTGTATTTTGTTGTTTAAAGCAAGGCCCTTGTGGAGCAGATGTCATGGCAGGGAGCAGGGCTGGTGCAGGGTGTGTGGTGGCATCTGCTGAACTTTGTGACTTTTTCATCTCACTTGGTGGATGACACCCAGCACCATGGACACAGCTGTGCTTTACTAGGAGCATTTTTGAAAATAAACTTCAGATACAGCAGTGATGGATGCAGTGACTCAGAACACCAGGAAAACACCCCTGCATGCTCTGTGGAGCCTGCCCAAGCCAGTCCCTGGTGTGCCAGCTTGTCTGGAACATGTCCTGTGGCTTTTGCAGGAGAGCAGCACGTCCAGAGTTTGTGCCTGCAGCCAGGAGAAAGAATGTCCAGTGGAGAAGACCTTGAGCAACAGCCCTGTGAAATCTGAACGAGAAGTTCTCTTAGTTGGTGAGTTCTGCTGGCTCCTCGGTGGTGATTCCAGAGACCTGAGCTAGGGGGACCTGCTTCAAGGTGACCTTGCACTCCTCCTGCCCACCTCTGGCTCTTTTGCTTATCCCAAGGGAGGTGGGAGTCCTGGAACTGAGGAAAACCTTGAGCTTTGCTGGGGTCAGGGTGTGGCCTCGTGACCCCTGGCTGCCTGCAGGGGCACAGGGCTGGTGGTCCCAGCTGGCTTTTGTCTCGTGACAATGACCTTTGTGGTGTTCCTTCCCCAGGGATAATTTCAACATTTCTCCACGTGCATCCTTTTGGAGCCAGCATTGAATACATCTGCTCCTACCTGCAGCGCCTGGACAGCAAGGTGGGTGTGGGACAGCCTGGGCTGGACAGCGAGGCCTGAGCTCTACTCCCTGCAGAAATCTGCTGGAAGAGAATGGGGGATGGGGTGAATTTCAGGATGATAGGATGGTTTGTGTTGGGAGGGACCTCAAAGCCCATCCAGTTCCATGCCCTGGCAGGGACACTTGCACTATTCCAGGTTGCCCAAAGCAGCCCAGCTTTGGGGTTCACCACTAACTACACCCCCAAGCAGTCCCATGTCCTGCTGGCTTTGTGCTCCTTTTTGGAGTAAATGGGAGCAACTGTGCAAAGACTTCTGGAAGGAATTACATCTTATTCTTTTAGGAAGGAATTACATCTCATTGTCCTCTATCCTGGTCTCCAGCTGTCTTCCTTAAAGAGCCCCAGGGACAGGAGGCCTCACAGTCATGGGAATTCTGTCTTTGGATTGGAACTTATCCAGCTGCTTGTGTATATAAATGAGTGTTTAGTTTACCCTTTCCTAAGGAAACATGGCTCCCTGGGCTTGCTCACGCCAGCCTTATAAAGACAGAGTTAATAATTTTATCTCCTCATTCTAGCTTGGAATTTGTCTATGGGGCCACCAGCTGCCTTTATTTTGGTTTGGAACTCCTATAGAACTGCCATCATAGCACTCAGCTGCTTTCTGGACTTCCTCTTTGGTATCCATAGTGCAGAGAAGGGCTTCTGGGAGCTTCTGCTTGGGAGAACCCCTGTGGAGAGCCCACCCTTTATTTAACCTGTGCTGTGGCATCAGTCTCCTCATGTTCACTCACACTTAGGGCTATTTCCATTGTCCTTTGTGTTCCTTCTGAGCTCTTCTGTCTCCTCCTTGACTCTTGCAGGAGTTCAGATTAGTTTGGGATGTTATTTTTAACCCTGAGTAGATCTTTGGGCCTGAGGTGAGGCAGAGGAGGGGGAGTACTTGGAAGTACGACCTGATTTCTTGAAGCTGCCAACAGGAAAGGAAGGGGAATATCTTTCCGCTGTTCCCTGTCCATCATTCTCACTAAGATGATCAGCAGAGAGCACAAAAATTAAGATCTAAGGTGGTTTGGAGCCATGTAAGAGCCCTTCAGAAGGGCTCTTACCTGTAGCCCTGAGCATGGCTTGGCACGACCTTTGGTGCACCTCCTGTGCAGTGGTGCAACCCCAGTCTTAGCTCTTGTCACAGCTCCTGGTGTCCCAGCATTATCCCCAGGAGTTCAGGGAAAGCCTGGACGAGCCATGTAACTGTTTGAGTTTGAATTATCAGCAGCCACCAGGGCTTCCATCCTTCCCTTTCAGTGCTGTTTTCCTTGTGTTCCCCCAGATCTGCACGGCAGAGGTGGAAGTGCTCATGACACGACTGCAGAACACGTTCCGGCAGGAGCTGAGCGGGGTTGGGGCCAGCCTGGAGAAGAGGTGGAAGTTTTGTGGCTTTGATGGGTTGAAAATGACTTGAGCTTTGACTTAACGCTGGAAACAGTGGGATATGGATGCTGAGAAAGCCTGGGATGCTCCTTCCTCTGTTCCTGATGATTCCCTCACACCACGGCCTCGGGGTACAAAGTGTAAAAGTGAAACCAAGTCCAGAGCAGCACATGAAGAACTTCCAAGTTCTGTAGCTGCTTTGATCAGTTATTTGTTATTGGGCAAGTGCTGTTCAATATATTTGGGGAAAAAAGCTCCTGCCTGACCCTTTGAAGCACAGCGTGTTGACTGTGTGTTCTGCCAATGTTGTATGTGCTTGTGTGCCCAAATTCCTCCTCCTCAACCTTCCTTCTGCTAGGAACAGCCACAGACTGTCCTGAAGCAACAACAAAGGGGCATCTTCCGGTTTCTAGATCACCAAAAGGGGAAAAAAAGGCATTTTTTAGATATTTCTATTAGTAAAAGCCAAGGTATGTTTAAAGAGAAGATTTAGATGTGTCAAGGGCCTCTGAGCCAAGGAATTGTTTCTTCTTTTGCTGTTCTCTTTGTTAGCAGTTAAGCTGAGGTGTTGGGGCTGAGGGGGATTCTGGCAGTGCCACTCATGCTTTGGGTCAGTGTACAGAATCTTCTACATGGGAAGGGTGTTTAATTTTCTGGGGATGTGGGTGGAGAAGAGCGACATCAGCCTGACTTTTGGTGATTTTTACGACTCAGTTCCTTCACCTACTTTGCTTCGGAGACCAAGCTCAAGCAGCACAGACTCCTCTGCTCCTGATCCTTCCCAGCCCTGTTCTTCATGTTCCTAGTGCATGCCATGCTCTTGCCCAGCTGTGCAGAGGTGCAGGGTAGCACAGCTCGGCCCATCCCAGCCTGCCTGGAGCCCTCTGGATCCTCCTGCCCACAGCAGCCTCACGTTCCCAGCCTGGCGTCACCTGCAGAGCTCTCAGTCACCCCGTGCAGTGTTCCTGTTCTAGACATCCCAATGTGCTCCCAGCACGGCAGCTGGCACAGTTCCAGCCCCTCCTCTTTGTTCCCCATGCCCCAGGTGTCGGTGCCCTTCACTTGGGCTATTAATCCCACCTAACTTTGGGGGAGAAGCCCCAGTTCATATGTTCCTGTTCTCAGGTATTTCCCAAATGTGTGACACATCCCCAGCCCTGGTGTCATCCTGCTGGGTGCTTCTCCACCCTGTGCCATGACCAAGGTAGTGCCCAGGTGAGTACAGGGACATTTCTGGTGTGTTCTGTGTACCTGGCACAGAGACCTGATGGTGTGTGAACCAATTCCTCATCCAAAACCCCAAAATTCCACTGGTGAAGCCAGGCTTGGAGCCAGCTATTGACCTGCTGGCTCTGTTTGTCCCCTCACCATTCCCTGCAGTAGGAAGGACAGAGGAGAGCACTTCCTGTGCTCCTGCTCCCTTTCCCACTCACCCCAAGGCTCTGAGGTCTCTCCAGATCCCTTGTATTTCTTCCTGCACCTTCATCCTCCAGCCCCAGTGAATCATCCTCCTTCTTGTTGTTCCCACTGGCAGAGCCTGGCACCAGTTCTCCCCAGGCACTGGGTGAGCCAGGGTGGTCACAGAGCAGACACCCCTGCTGTGCTAGGTGGGAATGTGGCACCTGTGCCACCTGTCCCTTGGGGTCAGCCAGGTGGAGAGAGAGCAGGGTGGTGTGTACTCAGTGAGAGCGCTCCTTGGGAAAATCAAGGAAGAAACTTGAGGAGTCAGGACAGTTGCAGAGCCCTGAGAGCAGCCGTGGCTGGAGCACCCGGAGGCAGGGAAGGGGTGGTGGGGTCGGTGGGGACGGGGCTGGGCTCCCCAGTGTGGCAGCTCCCGCAGCACAAGGACTGGCTGGGTCCCAGCCTCTGTTGGCTGCAGGGTGGGAGCTGGGATGGGGCCAGGGCACCGTGGGCAGCCAGAGCCACCTCCTGGGGGTCTGAGGGGGCTGGGGCTGTTGGAGAGACCGGGCAGGTTGTTCCATGGGGCAGCAGAAGGGAGAGGAGCCAGGACCTGTGGGGCAATGGCTGGTGCTGTGGAAGTGATTCAGGGCTAGAGCACCCCAGGGTCCTGCTGCTTCCCCTGTCCCAGGGCCTTTCCAGAGGGGCTGAGGTTTCTCCCAGGAGAAATCTATCCTGCAGATGGGCTGCTGATGTGACACCCAGGGATGGGTGACTGAGATCTTCCCTTGGGACCAGGCTGTTCCCACGTAGGCTGTTGCTCTCCTTGCTCCCAACACTGAGCGCTTGTCACACTGGGAGCAGATAAAAACCCTTTTAAAAAATGCTCTGACTAGTTGTGTCCCTGCAGATGAATGCTGTATTTTTAAGGAATAAACATTTTTTATGGGCAAATCTTGGGCCTGCTGCTTTCTTTGTTGTTCCAACCCAAACCATTCCATGATCATGGGCCAGGAGCCCGGCTGTGGCCCCCAAAGGGCTCAAGGCAAGGAGTGTGTTAATTGGCAAGGAAGTGCTGATTTTGGGTGTTGGTAGAGGTTTGGGAGGCTCTCCAAGGTCTGTAACCCTCTGGGAACAACCTGAGCTGTAGATCCACCCCATGAGGTCTGTGAGCTCCTCAACAGCAGAGCTCTGCAGGGACCCTGGATGTGGAGAGCATCCATGTGCCCAGCCTATGCCAGACCCTGTCAGACACTGTCATGGGGAAGATGCCATGGTGGAGCACCAGGAAGGTCTGCATGGAGAGCTGAGGTGGGAATCATCCACTGGCCCTCCCCAACCAGCCCAGGCTGCACGTTCCCAGTTTAGGTTTTACCTGGCAGCACAGCTGATGCTTTGGGGGTGTCCTGGTTGCCCATGGATGGGAGCAGGAAAAGCTGAGGATGGAGGGGATTGAGCAATGAGCAATCCCTGCCAAGGCTCTGTGTCCAGCGTGGGAAGAGCAGTTCCTTCCATCCAGCCCTGCTCTCTCTCCACACGCTGTTTCTGGCTCTCATTTCTTTGGCAGAAAATCCACATTCTCATCCCCTCTCTCCTCCCCTTGGCTGTGGCAGCTCCTTTCCATCACTTCCCCACTTCTCCTCCCATCTGTGGGCTGGAAGGGCCCCTGGAGCCTTTGAGGAGATGCTGCTGTGAAAGCCATTGTCCCAAAGGAGGAGCTGGGACATCCAGGAGCTGCTGGTGCTGCTGCAAGAGGACACAGACAAGGTAAACGTGGGCCCTTTGTTCCAGCTGGGAAGAGAGAAACTGCAGCTGAGACTGGGGGAGCAGCCGCTGCTCCTTGGGAATGGAGGGGGCAGCTGCACTGAGCTTTCCCCATGAGATTTCCTGAAATAAGCACCAGTCCTGTTTTTGAGTTAGTGAGATTCCTGCTCTGGCATCCCCTCCAAAGGAGGGTTTTTGTGGGGCTCTGCCTTTGCCCCCACTGTGGGCCAGCATTTCTTATGGGGAGCCTGGTGCCCGTCCAGGATGAGTGAGCTCTCCTGTCCCATGGGATTCACAGGGATCACTGATCCCTGTCCCCTGCAGGGACACCCACGCTGCTCCTGTGCCTCTGGCTTGGAGGTGCTGGTCCCCATCTCAGCTCTTCCCAGGGACATAAATCCACACCTGGGCTGACAAGCAGGACAGGTGTTTGGGGTTAACTCCTGGAGGATGAGTTTTGGCAGTACCTGTGATGGTGGCATGTCACAGGGCTCCTCAAGTGGCGCCTGTGGGTGGGCAGATAAGCAGCAGCTTGTCCAGCCTTCTCCTTCCTGCCTTCTCCTTCCTGCCTTCCCTCTGCTGCTCCCTCTCTGACTGGGATTCCTCCTCCTCCTCACCCCATGGCGGCCGCATCCCCCAGGACTCTGCTCAGGCTGGGGATGTGGCCGTGAGCTCTGCTGGAGTGTGGGGCTTCACCTGCACAAAGGTAACTCCCTATAGTGTGTCTCTCTGGGGGTATGTCCATCCATCCATCCATCCATCCATCCATCCATCCATCCATCCATCCATCCATGCACAGCAGAGCTGCTCCCACCCTGCTGGGACCTCCGGATGCAGCAGAGGCATGGAGCTGTCCCTGGCGTATGGAGATGCTCTCATCTGTGACAGCCAAGGAGTTTCCTGCCCTATGCCATCCCAGGGGAGCAGCATGGAAGTTATAAAAATCCCTGCATTGTGTCTCTTTAATTTGATAGAGGGCAGGGATAGATGGGATATTGGGAAGGAATTCCATCCTAGGGTGGGCAGGCCCTGGCACAGGTGCCCGGAGCAGCTGTGGCTGCCCCTGGATCCCTGGAAGTGCCCAAGGCCAGGTTGGATGGGGCTTGGAGCAGCCTGGGACAGTGGAAGGTGTCCCTGCCATGGCAGGGGTGGAATGAGATGGTTTTTGAGGTCTCTTCCAATCCAAACCAGTGTGGGATTCTATGATGTAGGTGAATTCCCTTTTCAGTGTCCACTTACAGGGAACTCTGAACAACTCCTTTATATTTGTTTTCTTCTTTAATTTATGTAATTTTCTAAATTCAATTCTAATTTTTAAATTTCTAATTTCTAACCTTTAGAAACTGAGATTTCAAACCTGGCCAGAAGGAACCAGTCTCAGGGGCCAGAGGGGGGGCAGAGACTGACACATGAGCCCTGTCCCGTTCCTGGGGGTCTCACTGCATCCTTTGAGACTTCCAGGCATTTATTTTTCATTCTTGCCTTAAGCCTCTTTGGGGAGGTTCTTTTCAGAGCCTGTACTCTGACCTCAGTCCTCTCTTCTCTCTGGGGCTGCTGTTGCTCTTTGGACCGTGCCGGGTGGTGCTGGGGTGGTGGCACCAGGAGGAGGTGGCACCGCTGGAGGCAGCCAGGTCAGTGTGGGGTGAGGAGCCAGGTCCCTGTGTGGGCTCTCCCAGAGCCTGCACACAACAGGGAGGGCTCCCCAAAGCTCTGGGAGAGGAGATGGGGTGCCCAGGGTGTGTCCATGGTCTGTGGTCCAGCCTGTGCCTGAGGTAAAGGGCTTTGGCACCTCTGGTCATGTGCAGTTGTTTGTGATTTAAAAGAGATAAATGATAGAATTTGGGAGAGATCTTAAAGCTTATCTCCTTCCATGCAGAGACCTTTTCCACCAGTGCAAGCTGCTCCAAGCCCTGTCCAACCTGGCCATGGACACTTCCAAGGACAGAGCAACCACAGCTCTTCTGGGCACCCTGTGCCAGGTCCTCCCTCACAGGGAACAATTCCTTCCCAATATCAAATCTAAATATCTCTCCTGATGCCTCCAAGGCCTTTGCTTGGAAGGTTGAAGTGAGATGATGTGGCTGGGGCTCTGCAACCCCACTGGCTCTTTGGAGAGCTGACAGAGGGACAAATGTCTCCTGCAAAGACTCCCTGGGGTGCTCCCAGCAGTTTCTCTCCTAAAGCAGGTGTCGCTGCCATGTGTTCCTTTCACACAGGTGTGTTTTCCAGAGGACCTTTGGCTCGCCCCCTGTGCCAGGCCCCAGCCCTGGGATGCAGCCCGTGGCCCTGCAGAGCCTGTCCGAGCTGGAGAGGGCCAGTCTGCAGGAGCTGGCGCTGTTCCAGCTGCAGGAGAGGCTGCCCGTGGGGCATCTCAGTCTGGACAGAGGTACAGGGGGAGAGGAGGGGAGAGGAGGGACAGGATGGGAGAGGACAGGACAGGAGGCTCCTGCCAAGGGGGGCTGAGGCTGAGCCATTCATGCTGCTCACCCCCGCACCACAACCCAGGATGATGGTTATGGAGAGACAATTGTGACATATTTTGGTCCATTCTATTTCTCATTCCTGCTTTATTCTGAGCCCTGAAGGCCTGATCAGCCTGTGGAGGGGTTTATGTGTCCGTAGCAGTGTGAGAATGTGACCCTCCAACCCCCAAACTCAAACCACATGTGACAACTTGGCGAGGTCTCCACTGGGATTGTCTGAGTGCCCTTGGGGTGGGACGGGATTTGCTGTTTGGATCCATGGCCAGCACTAAGTCCTGATGCTGGAAAGGGGCTAATGGGAGAGTGGATAATTCACTGGCACATAAAAGGGTGAATAAATTTAGGATCTCCACAGGAACTGAGCACAGAGGCCCTGTCAGGGTTCCTGGGGTTGACTGTGTCCCCCACCAGCAAACCCAGAGAGTTGTGGTTCCCAGACTCCTTCCCAAATCCACTTCTTATCCACTTGATGTGCCTCCTGTGCCCTGGGCCATATTTTGGCATCCCAGCAGGGCAGGGGATGCCACCAGCTCACCAGGTCTGGGGCTGGGGGTGCAGAGGGAGCCTGGGGGTCTCCAGCCCTCCTTTCAGTCCTGGCACTCCAGGGCAGGATGGAGGCTCCAGGTCTCTGGGATCTTCTCCCAGGGATGGGGCATTTCCCTCACACTGAGCACCAACTGCTTGAGGTGGCACCCAAGTCTGGCTTCCCACCTTAATATCCCAAAGATTTCATGCCATGAAACGGCATCATGAAGAGTCCAGCACAGCTCCCCTCTCCTTCCCAGAACTCCCAGTTGCTCCAGGGCTGCAGCCCTGGAGGACTTTGACCACAAACATCCTGATTCCTTTTCTATTTTGTTTTATTTTGGACTGTTGTAATCCCTCTTGCAGTGACACCCTGCAGCAGCAGCTCCTCTAGGGACCAGTGCAGTGCCAAAAAAAGCCCCAGAGCCCAGTATTTCCTTCCTGGTTGGTCAGTGTGCTGCTGGATAATTTATGCTGGCTTCTACTCATGTTCCTCATTCCAGCTGTCAGAGCTTTCCTCTAAGTCCTACAAAATAACCCAAACAAGTAGATATAAGCTGTTCTTAGGAAGAGAATTCTTCAGGAATGAAGAGTACGAGCCAGAATAGGGTGATGTGTCCTGGAAGGATTTAGGGTGGGCAGTGAGTGAATTCTTAGTTCACTGCTGCTGGATGTGTGAGGTGGGATTCCTACAGAGCAGGATGGGATTTGTGATGGTGTTTTGTACAACTTTTTATGTCTGTGCTCTGTAAAACATTCCCCAAAGCCTTTCTGGGTCTCACTGCTCGTCTAGAGCCATGGGGTCCCTCCATCCCTTCACCCACAGAGGATGGTGCCCATCTCTGGGAATGTTCTCCAAGCAGTGATGTCCATCTCCAGGGCTGGTCCCTGGGCAGGGATGTCCATCTCCAGGGCTGGTCCCTGGGCAGCTGCTGCCCACTGTGTGTCCCAGGACACTCCCGGATCTTCTCAGGGCCATGGCTGTCACTGCAGTGTCCCCTGGCTGGAGGCTGCAGAGGGACAGGGAGCCTATGCTGAGCCCCAAGATGCTGGTGCTGAACCTTCCCCTTTTCTTCTCCTCCTAGATGGCTCCAAAGGCATTAAATCCATCCGGCAGAAGCTGGAGAGCTTCTCGAAGGAGAGGAAAGGTGAGCAGCCTCACTTTTACCTGGGCTTTAGTCCCTGCTCTCAGGGGGAATGGATGATTTTTGGTGGGGTGGGAGGTGCCTGAATCCAGTAGGATGCTTCATCACAGTTGTTTTGCTGTTCTTGGAATGGCACGAGCTTGATGGAGCCTTGGAGCCTGGAAGGACGGAAAGGTGTGTGGAATGTGTGCAATGTGAAATGCATTTTCAAGGTGAACACCTATAAATGCGTCTATCTGCCCATTTTGCCCCACTCTTGTTACCTCCAGTTCTATCTTAGCATCCTCTGAAGGACCTCAGTGACAACCCTGGGGTACACAGAATCCTAGAGCAGAGCCAGGTGGGAATGAGCTTCCCCACACCAGTACAAAACCCATTCAAGGAAACTGCTGAAATTAATGCCTCGTATTTTACTTAGTACAATGCTTAAACATATCAATCATTGTACAACATGCTGGTAGCAACTTAGTAGCTGTTTGATCTCTGTCTGTAGTAAAAGCATTGTATAGTTTCAATCCCAAATGTTCCCAGAGAGGGAGTGATAACATAGAAGCTTCATCCGCAGCTGGAAACCGCTTCTGAATGCATAATAGTAAGTCCTTTAACTCAGATTTTGAAACGTTACAGGAATTAGATTTGACCAGATCTTTAAGGTTTTATAAATATCTCCAGGCAAATTGGACATCTTGTGTCCTAACATGTTCCCTGAGTCTTACCTGATGTTGAGCAACAGGCAAGTCCTTGTTGGATCTCTGTCCTGATCGAGCCAGCGACGAGGGCAGAAATCCAACTTCTCTCTTCTTGCAAGAGTTATGATCCCAGGATTCATGCTTGTCTCAGCAACACTTCACAAAAATGACCTTGGGGCTTTCTGGCAGGTCAGACAGTTTAGTTGAGTTATCTGCTCCCCACACAGGGCACCAGTTTGTTGGACAATACTCTCTTCTTGATCTTGAGATGGGGCAGCTGAGAGGCATTTTAAAATCTTTTTTTCCATTTTCAGTCTCATGAGAAGGGTGAGACAGCACAGATGTTATAATTCATGCCATCACAATCAGAAACCAACTATTTCCTAATTACAATACACTATGAGTCTTTCTTGGCCTATCAGCTTTTTGCCACACCATGCTGTAGATGTCTTAAAGCCAATCATCTAAAACTACCCCTCATGGGTCCTCATATAATGCATTTTTCATAGTTTTATTTCTATAAAGTATCTAGTCTTATTTGTAAGGTCATCTTTTGAAACTTTTTTCTAGCTCCATTTTTCTCTCAACAATATCTGTCTTATTCTATGGTATTTCTAAGTCAGCATTTCTTGTCTCAAAGTCTGCATACGGATGTACACTGTGTGGGCCTTCTGTTAGGCCCTGAGAACTCTCTACAAGTCCATTTCTCACAGTTAGAATTTGGAAAGGATCTTTTGGTGATTTATGAAGTAGTTGCTTCATAGATGCCATGGCATCTTCATGGGGCTGTAGCCAGTCAAAGGAAGGAAACTCCTGGAAAAACTGGGACGGGCTCCAACAAGCCCACAGAGCAGGGCCCTGTGTCTCCTCCCTGTCCCCCCAGCCCCCCATTTCCCATGGGGTGCCCCCCCCCCTTGGCTCTTTGGCACCCAGGGTCCCACCACACCTTTCCTGCTCTCCAGGAGGAGCAGCTCCCTTGGGGATTGCCTGGCTCCCTGGGACAGCACCGTGCGCTCCAGGCGCTCCTGGGGGCAGGACACGGGGGTTCATCCCTGCAGCTCCCTCACTGCAATTCCCTCCCTGCCCTGTTCCCCCAGACTGCTCTCCCCACACCTTCGGGGTGCCGCTCGCCCAGGTCATCGCCAACGACCGCGCCTGCCGGCAGCTGCAGGAGGCCGTGGGCAGGAGCCGGCGGCTCTGCCTGGAGGTGGAGGCCACGGTGACGAGGTTCCGGGCCCAGAGGCACAGGAGGCTGGGAATGGGCACCAGCTGCATCCGGGCACCCGACGGGGGCTGCCCAGAGGAGCCGCTTTCCCCAGTGCTTGTGGACAAGAGCTCCTGGAGCCAGCGGAGGGTATGGTCCCCAAAATGGGCTGTGGTGGTGCTGTGGGATGGGGGCATCTGAATTTGGCAATAAATGGGATTTTCCAGGATTTTTTCTTACCGACTGAGTGGGTTGTGTCCCAGGCTGGGCCGGTCCCAGTCTGTCCTCAGGGAAATGGTGATGTCCCCAGCGCCCTCAGAGATGGACTGTGAGGAGTGGGAGGACCCTCACTAGCAAAGCTCTTATGGAGATGAGGTTACCAGGGGGACATTTAAGGGTCCAGAGGGCAGGGATGGATGGGATATTGGGAAGGAATTCTTCCCCATACGGATGGGGAGGCCCTGGCGCACAGGGTGCCCAGAGAAGCTGTGGGTGCCCCTGGATCCCTGGCAGTGTCCAAGATCAGGGTGGACACTGGGGCTTGGAGCAGCCTGGGACAGTGGGAGGTGTCCCTGCCCATGGCAGGGGTGGCACTGGATGCTGCCCTTTCCCAGAAACCCGTGAGGTCACGGCAGTGACAGATCTGTGGGGTCATTCCTGCCACCTCCAAATGCCCTCTGCTCCATCACAGGGGGCCATGTCTGTGGATTCCATCACGGACCTGAGTGACAATGCCTCTGAGCTGCTGGAGGCCCTGCAGCTCTCACACCCCCATGAGCTGGACCCTCGCAGGAGCCGTGGCAAGAAGAAGCAGCTGAGCCTGAACCCCATCACCTGGCAGGTGCCACGGATTGTGGACAGGTGCTGCACTCACCTTGAGATGCACGGTAAGGGCTGGAAAAACTCCCTGTGTGTGGCCACCAGGACATCCTGGCCTGACCACCCCCAAGGTGGGAGGAAGGCCAGGTTTAATGGGCACCGTGGGATTCACCCGAAGGTTGGACTCGATGGTCTTGGAGGTCATTCCCAACCTGAATGCTTCTGTGAGTCCTGGGGCAGGGCATCTTCCAAAAAGCCTCCTGTGGAGAGTCCTCTGGGTTGGATGCAGCACCAGAGGGGAATGCTACAGAGGAGGGAATGTCACTGTGTGTGTCAGTGACCATCTCCTGGTGCCTCAACCTCTGCTGCACATCTAGCCCTTGCTTACACTGACTGTAGGGACGGGATCTCCTCCCTTCCCACAGCCAACCCAAGGAAATCTCATGGCTCCACAGCCTTTCCTTTTCCTCACTGCCTGGAGAAGGGAAAGCCATGTAAGAGAAGCCCTACCACGGTGCTGAGGTGCTCCCAGGAGCAGCCAGGGTGGCAGGGAGCAGTGGGAATGCACAGCACTAACCTCTCTGTCCCCCAGGGCTCCAAACTGTTGGCATCTTCCGTGTTGGAAGCTCCAAGAAAAGAGTCCAGCAGGTAAAGGGAGGCATTCACTGCATCCTCTGGCTGTGCCTTGTCGGGGATAGAGGCTCGTGTGGATGGGGATGGATAGAGCTGACATTGGTGTGGAGAGGTCTGAAACAGACTAGAACAGACTGTGATTTTCATCCTTCCCATTTCTTCCATCTCCAAGCTGAGGGAGGAGTTTGACCGAGGGCTGGATGTTTTCTTGGATGAGTATCAAAGTGTTCATGATGTGGCTGCCCTGCTCAAAGAGTTTCTCCGGGATATGCCTGATTCCCTGATTCCCAGAGAGCTCTATGGAGCCTTCCTCAGCACAGCCAGTGAGTACCTGTGGGGCAGAGCCTGCACAGCTGCAGGAGGATTTGTGTTGGGGGCACCTCTCACTTGGTCAGGTTGCTCCAAGTCCTGTCCAGCCTGACTTTGGACACTGCCAGGAATGGATCCTTCCTCACCACCCTTCTTTTCCAAAGCTTCTGGGATGGGTGTTGTGCTCCCTGGCACTGCCACATGCAGTTACTGTAATCAGTGGATTTGGTGGGGGTTTTGTTTGATTTCTTTTGAATGGGACTCTAAACATCCCTCTGGTCCGTGACAGTCTTTGGCTGTGTGGCTGTGCAATATCCAACAACACCACAGCTCTTGCTGGGTTCTCCATCCCATGGGAGGAAGGGTGGGACAGCAGCCTGGCTCCCACCAGAGCTCATTCCCAAGCATGTGGAGGAGGGCTGGAAGTGCCTGGTGGGCTGGGACCCTCACTAACACTGCTCTCCCCAGCGCTGGAGGGGCAGGCCCAGCTGGACACGCTGCAGCTGCTGCTGTTCCTGCTGCCCCCGTGCCACAGTGACACCTTGCTGCGCCTCCTGCGCTTCCTGGCCGAGGTGGCCCGGCACGCCGAGAGCTCCTGGGACCCCGAGGGCCGTCAGGTGAGGCTGCTGCTCCCGAGGGGCTGCCCTGGAAAGGTGCTCGGGCTGCTGTGGCTGCAACTGAGTGGGGCTGCTGCAAGCTTGGGGGAGAAAACAAATCCTTCATGGAATCCTGGGATCATTGTGGTTGGAAAAGGTGGGGATGGGATGAGTGTGTGCTCCAGAACCTCAAGCCCTTTGTGCTGGCCCTGCCACCAGCTCAGAGAGGACCAAACTGGACCCAGACCAACATCTCACCCTCACCTCGCCCTTGTGTTCCTGCCCTGGGGTGGGTGAGGACATCCTGGGACATCCCATGCCACTACATCCACAGTCCACAGGTTTCTTTGGTTCTTCCTTGTAGATCCCTGGGAATAAAATGACAGTGTCAAACCTGGCTACAGTCTTTGGTCCCAACATCCTGCAGAAGGAGAAGCCTGGAGAGAAAGATGCTGGTGCCCTGAACTTTGAGGACAGTGCTGCCATAATCCTGGTGCTCCAGAGGCTGATTGAGCACCATCACTCCCTGTTCATGGTACGTGAGGCTCCTCAGGGCAGCCCCTCCAGCCCCTCCTTCCCTCTCAACTCTTCCAAGAGCAGCAGGGGAAGGATTTTGTCCCTGTCAGAGATGCACCCCTTGGTCTGTGCCCATCCTCTGGGAAGGCTCTGGCTCCATCCTCTCTCCACCATCCCACAGGGCACTCGCAGGCTGCAGTAAGAATCCCCTCAGGTCTATTTGAATGGGACATTTCAGGTCCCCAAAAACCCTTATAGCAATTTTTGTGGCCTGCAGGGAGTCAGAGGACTGGGGATAGTGGAGGGAAAGCAGGAGCTGAGATCCTGCAGCCCCTGGGAGGAGTGTGGGGTGTGACACCAACGTGCTGGGTCTGTGACCATGTCCTGGGGTCCTTCCTTGGCTGCCTCTGCTCAGCTTCCTGCCGAGAGTGGCCCCACGAGTGGTGTGGCCGTGTCTCCCCAGGTGTCCCCAGAGATGCAGTGTGACGTGCTGAGGAGGCTGTTCCAGACAGACCCCGATGTCATCGAGTACCTGCTGCGCAGGAAGTTCCCTGACGTGCCGTAAGTGCCCGAGGGCTCCTCAGGGCACAGGGACAAGTGGCAGCACACCCTGCTCATCTTCCTCCAGACTGCTCCTTCCTACAGCGCCCTGGTCACAGCTCCTCAGCTAAAGCCCTTCACACTCCATCCTTTCCATCCCTCAGAGCTCCCTGCTCTCCCTGTTTGCTCCTCATCCTGTACCAGCTCTCTCCAGAGCTCTCTCTCTGGTGTCCACACAGCTCCTGCCCAGCCCTTCCCCTGCTCCTGCCTCTCAGTGTCACACATTGATTCCTGCTCCACCACCAGCCTTCTCCAAACCTCCTCTGTCCTTGGTGTCCGTGTTTCACTGCAGTCTTTGCCTGCCCCGGGTGTCTGTGTGGGGCTACCAGCTCTGTCCATACATCCACATTTTGGGTACAAGTTGGGACATTCCCACTGAGGCTCAGAACTAGAGCTCGTGGCCTTCCCTAAGGTTAAAGGTGGTGGCTGAAAGGACCTCACATCCCATGAGCTGGGTCCACCATGGCACATAATGAAGGAGGGGGTTTGCTCCCTGGGGTTGGAAGTAGGGAATGGTTGAAAACAGGGGATCCTGGGAAGCAGAGGATGCTCAAGAGCCTTCAGTAGACCTGGTGACTCTTCAGTAAACATGAATTGTCCTGTGGGAAGGGTTTTCCTGGACCACAGGCCACTTCCATACCAATTTGGATGGGGCTTGGAGCAACCCCATCTAGTGGAAGGTATCTGTGCCCATGGACTAGATGCTCTTCAAAGTTCCTTCCAACCCAAACCTGGGATTCTGTGATCCATGCTACAGCTTCTGGTTTGTGTTCACATTCCTTTTGGGACTGTCTGGAGATGGCAGTCTTTGGGATCACTGCTTGAGTCCATTTGGGAGTGCAGTAGGCAGTAGAAGCATTTGCTAACAGCATCTCTCTCTTTTTTGCTTCCTTAGGAGCCCAGAGCGTGAGGATCCCGGGGAGGAGCTGGCTCCGTCCACGCTGTCTGGCTGGACACACAGCCTGGAGCGAGGCTCGGTCTGCTCGGAGCTCTACAGCAGCGTCTCCTTCCTAAACCTGCATGTTGGCATCTAGCCCTGCCCAGGCTCTCTGGACAAAACCAGGCAGCTTTTCCCACAAAACCCAGCCCTTGCCTCACTTTGGGGGCAGCCCCTGTGCCTGTGCCCTGGGGGCAGAGCTGTACTCGGGGGTCACCTCCCAGGCTGACACCTCCCTGTGGGACCAACCACTGCCACATCCTCAGCACAGCCCTCCCCTGCCACCTCCTCCTCACAGCACCTCAGGAATGGCTTGCCATCCCTACACCTGTGGGCACTCTTGGGAGGACAGGCTGAGGAAGCTGGGACTGCTCAGCCTGGAGAAGAGATGGCTCAGAGGGACCTTATCCATGTATCCAAATGCTTTTGTAAGGGCCTGGAGGGACAGGACAAGGAGAATGGCTTCCCACTGCCAGAGAGAGAAATTGGGATATTCCTGGGATATTCAGAGAAATTCTTCCCTGTGAGGGTGGTGAGGCTCTGGTTCAGGCAGGGACACCTTCCACTGCACCAGGCTGCTCCAAGCCCCATCCAGCCTGGCCTTCTGGCCTTGAACTTTTCCAGGGATGGGGCAGCCACAGCAGGGCACTTCTGGGGACAAAACAGTACTTCTGTAAACAGTATTCCATATTCTATCACAGCCTGCACCCAGTCATGGTCTGAAGACACCCAGACCTTCTCAGGTGCCCTACTCAGGGCTGGGCTCTTATTTTGCAAAGGTCCCTTCCCTGCAGATCAGAACAGTTGGGATGGGTGGGGAAGCACTTCCCAGAGGAGCCTGTGCTGTGAGATAGCCGGTGAGACCCCCTGGGAGCTGATAAGCTCCAGAGAGCAGCAGAGCTGTTGTGTCTGGAGGAGCAGATAAATTTGGGACACCATGAGGCTGTGGAAGGTTCCAGGAACGCTTGAATGTCAGCTGTGAAATCAACATTGTATCCAGCCACTGCTCTGGGTGGGATTGTACCTGCTGCAAGAGCAGCCCCCAGCCTTTCGAATTCCTTCCTAGGGTGGTAAAACACTGGCACAGGTTGCCCAGAGCAGCTGTGACTGCCCCTGGATCCCTGGAAGTGTCCAAGGCCAGGTTGGATGTGGCTTGGAGCAGCCTGGGATAGTGAAAGGTGTCCTTGCCCATGGCAGGGGGTGGAGTGGGATGGACTTTAAGGTCCCTTCCCACCCAAGCCATTCTGTGATTCCATGATCCTAGGATGGAACAGGGATGCTGACACAGGAGGCAGCTCTGTGCAGGAAAAGTCCTGCTGGATTTCACTTTCCCAGCACCATAACGGGGGCAGGGGGACACGGGGAGCTCAATGGGGGGAAGCACCAGCTTTCTCTGGCTGCTGCAGAGCCATCCAAGTCGCCGTAGGGTGTTTATCCCTGGCAGCGTTGATGCGATATTGCTGCAAACTCCGCTTGAGGGCAGCCCGGCACCGACCTGGCCCGGCCCCCGTGCGGCTGTACCGAGACTCTGCCGGAGCGCCCGGGGCTGGCCCGGAGCTGCTCCATTCCAGCCTCACGAAATGAAATAAACCCCCTCCCCAGCCAGCTGCACATCTCATCATGGAGCCTTGGTGTTGCTCTGGACCCGCTCTGGAGGGGCTGGCTGGCTTTTGCTCCAGATTCTGTTCTCAGGGGCTCTTTGCCCCTGCAAGCCTTGGGGGTCACCTCAGAAATGACAAGGAAGGTTCTGCCTTGATCCTTCCTGATCCCCAGTGCTGGCACAGGAGGGGCTGCTGCTGTTGGGGGTCTCTTCTTGAGGGGGGGTGGTTGCTTTTGGGGCAGTGGTGAATGTTTGGGGGAGTCTGCTTTGGGGGGGGTGGTGGCTCTCAGGAGCTGGTCACTGTTTTGGGGCTGATCACTGTTTGGGGGTGTCATTGCTGTTTAGGGCAGAAGTTGCTGTTTTTGGGGGCAGTTGCTGCTGTTGGGAGGTTCTGGCTGGTTTTTAGTTCCAGCCCCACCAAAGCCCCCTTGAGTCCCTCAGACTGGTGGGGCAGAGCCAGGCCTAGGGCTTGTATGAGGGTACAACAGGAAGAATCTGCAGGAGTGGGACTGGCTGCTCGGATCCATGGGTGTCTTTAGAGTCAACAGCAAGGAAAGCAGAGCCCGAGCTCCTCTTTTTTAAATTCCTGTGTCTCCCTCACGCTGCCGACCAGGATCCATGGCAGGGACCAAACACAGAGCTCTGGGCTTCACAGCTCTCTGGGAAACCTGTGGGAGAGAACTGTGGAACCGCTGAGGTTGGAAAAGCCCTGCAAGAGCACCAAGTCCAACCATCCCCCAGCACTGCCAAGGCCACCCCGACCCATGTCCCCAAGTGCCACATCCACACGGCTTTGAAATCCCTCCAGGGACGGGCACTCCACCACTGCCCTGGGCAGCTGTGCCAGGCCGGACAGCCCCGTCCATGAAGGAATTTTCTCTAATATCCAACCTGAGCCTCCCTGGCACAGCTTGAGGCCGTCTGTCCCTTGTTCCCCGGGAGCTGAGCCCGACCCCCGTGTTGAGGGAGCGAGACCGGGCGGGGGCGTTCAGGGGTGTTTGTTCGGGGGTTTTTGATCGGGGGTGTTCGGGGTGTTTGGGGGGGGTGACCCCGGGACTCCCCCCGTCCAGCGCTGCCGTTTGGGGGCGGAGCCTCCCGGAGCCCCCGCCCAGCCCCCGGTGCGGGGCCAAAAGCGGCGGGAGCGGAGCGGGAGGCGCTGCTGCCGCTGGGACCGGAGCGCAGGGAGCCGAGCAGCCGGTGAGTGCCGAACCGAACCGAACCGGGGGATGCCGCCCCCTCGGAACCCGCGAGGGGCTCCGCTCCTGCGTCCCCCCGCAGCCTCCGGGCACCCCCGGGAGCGGGATGGAGCCGGGGGTCCCGGACTGCCCCGGCCGAGGATTGTGCGCTCCTCCGTGTGCCCCAGCCTGGCCGGAGCAGCTGTGGCTGCCCCTGGATCCCTGGCAGTGCCCAAGGCCAGGCTGGACATCGGGGCTTGGGGCACCCTGGGACAGTGGAAGGTGTCCCTGCCCATGGCAGGGCTGGGATGGGATGGGCTTTGTACTCCCTTCCTGCTCAAACCCTTCTGGGATTCTGTCAAGCCTGCGTAGGACCAGCTCTTACTGGGCTGGCCGCAGCCCAGCTGTGGGATGAGCTGGAGGGAAGGCTGAGCTGTCCGAGGAGCCGGGTGTGCTCGGAGCAGTGCTGGCATTGCCTGCACTGGCCACAGGACCTGGAGCCTGGCTCTGCCCCGTCCCCAGCCTGGGCTGCTCCCGAGAGGCTCTTGCTGGCCCTGCCTGCCAGGTGGGTACCCCAACACCCCCATGTTGCCCCCAGCGATGGCTGAGGAGCTCAGTGAGCTGCTGAGGGAGTTCGACGAGGTCATGGAGGACTTTGACCGTGGCCCTGCAAGTCAGTACCAGCAGCACCTGGAGGAGCTGAAGAGGAAAGCGGGACAGAGTGTGTATGACAGTGGCATCGATGAGCTGGAGAGTGAGTCTGGGCTGGGGGTGAGGAGCCTTGGGGAGGATGGCATCTGCCAGGGTGGGAGCTCTGTGGTTCCTCCATGGAGCACATCTTCCTGCTGATGCTGCCTGACTCAGCCCTGGTGGTCTGGGTGAGCAATGGGGGGGATGGCCACTGGATACTGGCCCAGGACCTGTCAACATCTGCCAGGACTCCTTATGCCAGGCAGGCTGCTGCAGGACCCTGAGGGGCTGGGGATAACCTAGTTCTCTGTAATAACCCCGTCCTTGTAACTGTGCCCAGGCAACCTCTGGTGGTCTGTGACCTGAAAAAGAAACTCAGTTCCATTTTTCCAAGCATTCCTAGAAGCACGGGAGGAGCAGATGGGGTCTCCAAGAGTGTGCCACCCTGTGCCATGGGCATGATCGGGCCGTGTTCCTGCAAAATGTTCATCAGGTGCCTGTGCCCAGGCCAGTGACTGATGCTCTGTCTCTGCAGGTGCCAGCACGTCCCCAGGAAGCAGCCTCAACTCCAGTGAGGAGCACCTCAACAGCCCAGCTGACACTTATCCCACTAAAGGTGAGCCTGGCCCCACCCAAAGGGGTTTGCAGGGCTTCTCTGTGCTCAGCTGGGCTTGGCAATGACTGCCAGCCCTGGATAGGGGGGTGCCAAGGGGCCCTACGGAGTGGGAATGAGCCCTTGTGTCCTGGCAGGAGCTTAGAAGGGGCAGAAGTTGGATTGGGATTTTCCCAGTTGAGGCTGGACTGGCTGGGACAAACACAGCTGGAGCAGCTGTGCTAGGAACAAGGGGTTGGGGTCTCTCCTCTCCCCAGTGAGAGGGGAATGGGGAGACCTGACCGTGTTTTTCCCCACTAGCAAAGCTTGGAGACACGCAGGAGCTGGAGGAGTTCATTGCAGACCTGGATAAAGCCTTGGAAGGTACATGCCCAGCCTTGGTGCCAGCACTTCCCACGGGATGGGACACCTGGGCTGGGGCTCCTCCCCTGCCCCTGACTCGGCACAGCCTGGCCAGCGCCTCAGTTTCCTCAGATGAGGTGCAGTGCTGGTGCCTGGGGGAGGGGACTGGGGACATGAAGGCTGGGTTAGTCCTGGCAGTGAAGCCCAACAGCACAGTCTGCAGAGCTGCTGATGTCTTTGGGAAGATGCACAGAGGGCCTGTGCTCCTCTGCCTGCAGCCTCCCTCCAGCTGCTGCTCAGAGGCTGCTCTTTACCTGGGGGGGAAGGTGAGCAGGAGGAAAGAAGGGATCTTCCCTTGTGGTGTACCCTAACCTACCCCATCAGGAAGGAGGAGAGTGGGTCTGTGTGGTGGCAGGGAGCCTGTTGATCATGCTCTCCTTCTCCAGATGTTTCCCTCCTGGTAAGAGCCTGGGAGTGTCCCTGTGAGAGGGGGTGATGCTGTGCTGGGCATCTCTGGCATCTCTGGAGAGTTTGGCTGCTGTACCCAGCAGCTCTGGAGAGTTTGGCTGGTCCCCAATGGCTGCTGTGCTGGGGAAACCGAGGCAGAGGCCATTTCCTCCCACAGCGTGACACGCTGGAGACAGAGAGAACCTGGTTAAAAAACATTTCCTCCCACGCAGACAACAGCACACAGTTCTGCTATCTGTTCTCATCCCTGGTGTGCAAAATGAGGTGGCTGGTGGGAAGTGTTTCTTTGCAGGCCCCAGCCATGCTGGGAGGGAGGGAGGGGACCAGAGCTGACCCCCTGCCCCAGATTTCTTCTCTAACCCTGCAGACTGTTACCATATTCTGTGTCATCCTGCAGAGATGTGAGCTGTGCTGTGGAGTCTGGAGAAGAGCAGCCCCAGCCCTGAGTCTCCCTGATGCTGCCTCTGCACCCCTGGCTGGGGTGGGGATGGCTCTGGGGACAGGGACGGGCAGTGGGGACAGATCTGGCTGCAGGACGATGGTGACAAGGCCCTGCCAGAGGACAGCCCTGGGTGGGACCTGGCCCTGCCCTGCGTGGGGTCTGGTGGCTCCAAGGGCTCTGGGGGGGAGCTGGGCTGCTGCTGAAACCCCCAGAGTAATTTTGGGGAAGATCAACTTGCAGGACATCAGTGTGACCTCAGTGTCCCCTCCAGGCTGGGAAGCCTGGTTCCTTGGTGGCATCTGTCACTGCTGACCTTTGCTTTGCAGGGGGAGCCCCAAATTGGGTCCCTCTCTGCCCCCCAAGTGCCTTTGCCTCAGCTGCTGCTGTAAATACTGTAAAAAATATGTTTTGTGCTGTACATATGGTTCTGTGAACAGGATTTTAAACCTCTGCCTGTCTGTGTCCATCTTTTTCCCATTGGCAGGGGTGGGAGAAGGGATGCCTTGGGCTGCCAGCTGGTGGGACTGGCATTGGAGAAGGGGGAAACCTCAGGGAAGCAAGTTCAGCAGCACATGCCTGGCTAAAGAGGAATATCAGGAATCCCTTGTCCTGCTTGCCCATGGCACTCGGAACAGTGTGGGGTGGCAGAGGGCACAGAGTCTGTGCCTTCCTCCCCTGCCCAGGGAGATGGACACTGCCTGTCATCCCTCTGGCATGGAGGGCCCTGCTCTGGGGCTCCTGCTTCCAAAGGGAGGGGCTCTGGTGCCACTTCCCCTGGATCTTGCCCCTGTCAGCAGCCCAGGAACAAGGCCCAGGGATGTGGGTTTGCAGCCCTGTGCCAAGCTGAGCTTTGAGTGAGGTTTGGCCGTGGATGGGATGATGGATCCCCCTGAGATTCCCCTCCAGTCTTTCCCCCTGGAGTTTCCCATCCTGGGAGGTGCCACCAGGATGACAGAAGAGGAACCTGTGGCTGGTCCCCCTTTCTCATGTGGAGCAGGGTCACATGTGGCTCTGCTGCAGCTTGTCTGAGCAGGAAATGGGCAGTTTCAGTTTGTGCCCTCATCCCTGGTGCGTGGGTGCTGAGCAGGAGGATGTCAGACACCCCCTCTGCCAGCCCCAGCACTCAGTGCTGCTGGGGAGGCTCTGAGCACACACAGATCCCAGCCTGGTAGTGCTGCTCCAGCAGGAGGGTGGCAGCCCCTGGGCAGGGCCAGCAAGGGGACGCTCTGGGCAGTTGTGTAATGTGACCACTGATGTCTGTCCCAAATGGACCCCAAGGGGCAGCCAGGGGATGGGAGTGAGTGTGTGCCAAGGTGGTGACACCCAGAGATGCCTGTGACACTCAGCCTGTGACCTTCTGTGGGGACACACAGCCCCCATCACTGGAGCCAGGGTGGTGTGGGGACTGTCCCACTGTGGTGATGGCAGCAACCCCTGTGTCACTGAGGGCGTTTTTCCCCTCTGAGTCACTGCAGTCAGCATTTTGCGCTGTCTTGCTCTGACTCTGGTGTCTGTCCCCCCCGTGGTCCTGTTCTGCCCCCGGGCTGCACCAGCTCCTCCCCAGCCTGTGCAGGAAGGGGCTTTAACTCCTCCCAGCCAGCACGGTCCTGATGGTCAGCAATGATGACATCAATGCTCGGGCTGTCACTATCCCCAGGTCCCATTCACCGCCTTCCACCCCCACAGCAGTGACAAATGTTGCCAAGCTACAGAAATAAATATTTTCCAGCCCCAAATCTTCTGAGGTCGATAACCCCCACAGCCACAGCACAGCGCTGGTGACGCTCTGGGGGTTTGTTTGTTGTGGGGGTTGCCAGGAGCAGGTTGGGGTGTCACCACGGGCTCGTCCAGCCCCTTGGGTTCGGGATGTGTAGGTGGGAGCTGCCTCTGTCCCATGGCTGAACTGTCCCATCAGCACAGGAGCCTCTCCTGCCCCAGTGACACAGACCTCAGCATCTGCTCAGGTCGGGGCTGGGGGCCCAGGGGGTGACACTGGGCACTCCACAGTGCCAGTTCTGTGCATGGGGTGACAGAGACCCTAATGCCAGCCCTGTCCTGCCCAGCCTGTGCTGACAGCAGATCATCCTAAACCTCTGTGCTGGGCTGCCCAGGGCAGTGGTGGAACCCCCCACCCCTGGAAATATTCAAAAAACATATGGATGTGGCATTTGGGGACATGGATTGATTAATGGTGGCTTTTGCTGTGCTGGGGGAACAGTTGGACTCGATGGTCTTGGAAGGCTTTTCCCACTTAAATGATCCCATGATTCTGTGGCTTCTGCACCTTGCTGAAGCAATGTACAGAACCCCCTTTGGGCACTGGAGCTCTTCTGCAGGGACAAGGGGTGGATTTTCTTTCCTGAGAACCCCAGCAAGAGCTTGGGGACACACCAGAGTGGCTCTGAGATGGAGGTTGTGACATCCACCAACCCATGGAGGAGCAGTTGTCCAAGGGCTGTTGTGCAGCCCAGCAGGAACCCTGACCTTGCTCCCACACTCATGGGGATACAAGCCTGAGGGGCTGGGGGGTCCATGAGGGAGGGTCTGGTGTGTAGGAATGTGTGTGGGTCAGAGGGTTCCTGGGCTGGAGGCTCTGTGGCCCTGCACGTGCCCTGGAGGTGCTGCAAAATCAATCAGAGCGAACACGCACGTCCTGCAATACAGGCAGTTCCTCCCCAGGGTCCTGCTCCCCACAGCAGGAAAAGCATCCAAGGCAGCCTTGGCCAGGCTGGAGTGGGGCTGTGCTGCTGCACAGGGCCACCAGCGAGGCTGTCACTGCTCCCTGCTGCAGAACCCAAGGGCCCCCGGGGGTTTGCTCAGAAGCAGCAGCAGCGGGAAGTGGTAACCCCAGTGAGGTGGCTGCACGGGCCCGCAGCTGCTCCCTCAGGCCCGGCTCCCCCAAGCCCAGCTCCCCCAAGCTCAGCTCCCACAAGCCCGACTCCCCCAAGCCCAGTTCCCCAAGCTCGGCTCCCACAGGCCTGGCTCCCCCAAGCCTGGCACCCCCAAGCCCGGCTCCCAGTGGCTCCCCTGCAGCCCATGGGGGTGTTTGCCGGCAGAGCAGGCAGGTGTGTGTCCCACACTCTTTCTCCCACGGTCCCCAGTGAGCCCCTTTTCTGGGCTGGGGGATGCAGCTGTGGCTTGGAGCAGATCTCCTGCCTTCCTGGGGACCCAGATGGACCTGCTGAGACATGGAGGTGACAGCTTTGTGGAGGTGGCCCTGGCTGGCAGCCAGTCACCTCCTTCCTGTACTGCATGGAGGGCACCACTGAAAGGACCACCTCAGGGCAGGTGCTGCCTGTATCCCCCTGCTTTCCCCCACTCTCAAACCCCCAGGAAAAAAGGATGGAGGGATGCGTCCCTCAAGGCAGGACCGCCATGCACAGACCAGGGGGCTGATGGAGCTGGAGAAGCTCCTCACCCTGGCCAGGTGTGACGTTCCTCAGTGAAGCTGCTCCCACCTGGAAGGATCTCCCCAGCCACTGAGGGGACAGAAAGAGTCGGCAGAGTTCCCCTAAAGAAGTTGTTGCCACTCTGCAATTTGGAGAGGAACCTCAGCTCTCTGGGGAGGGGAAGTCCCCAGCTGCTCAGACGGTCTGGCTGTGACAGTGGAAGAGGCTGTAACTATTTTGGGAGACAGGCTAACCCCGGGGATGTTGCAGGCTTTCTGTCCTGTAAAGCCCCCTCACATATTTTTCTGGAATCCCAGAACGGTAGTGATTAAAACGGAATTTAAAGCCTGTCTTGTTCCACCCCCTGCCATGGCAGGGACACCTTCCACTGTCCCAGGCTGCTCCAAGCCCCAATGTCCAACCTGGCCTTGGGCACTGCCAGGGATCCAGGGGCAGCCCCAGCTGCTCTGGGCACCTGTGCCAGGGCCTGCCCACCCTGCCAGGGAACAATTCCTCCCCAATATCCCATCCATCCCTGCCCTCTGGCAGAGGGAAGCCATTACCTATTGTCCTCTCCCTCTTTGTTCTTGTCCCCAGTCCCTCTCCAGCTCTCTTGGAGCCCCATTGGGCTCTGAAAGGGGCTCTGAGCTCTCCCTGGAACTTCCTTTTCTCCAAGTGAGCAGTCCCATCTCTCCCAGCGTGGCTCCAGAGCAGAGGGGCTCCAGCCTTTGGAGCATGGAGGGATTTTTCCCCATTTGCAGGACAGGGAGAATTTGGGCCCTTTTGGGTTTGCCAGGGGTTGCTGCTTCACCTCAGTGCTGGGAGGATCTTCTGCAGTGCTGGGACTTCATCGACTCCTGGTGTCCCTGGGCAGCCTCCATGTGACCTCCAGCTGCCCAGGGGACAGGAGAGTTCCCCCTCCCAGGGACCCCAGCCCCCAAGGATGGAAGGAGAGAGCCTCCCCGCAGTGCCTGGTGAGCTTCAGAGCGTGCGGGCGCTGTCAGCAGGGGCTGGTGTTGTTTCCTCCGGCCCTGTTCCCTGCTCAGCCTCTGACCTCATCCCGCAGCTATCCAAAGAGACAATGCCGGTGGCGGTGGCCAGCACGGTATCCTGTCCCCTCGTGTCCCCCCCGTCCGGTCACTTCCCGGGATTGTTCTGCTCCCCTGGCCGGCCTGTCCCCCGGGAGGGGCAGGGATGAGCCGGTGGCCGCTGGAGCTTTGCTCCGCTGGAGCACGGCTGGGGCACGGCATGGGGCAAGGAGAAGTCATCCTGTCCCTGACCTTCCTCCGGCCACCCTCTGCTCCGCCAGGAGCTGCCCTAAGGCCACCAGCACCGTTCCCATCCCAGACAGAGCCCTGGGTGTGACGGGTGCGAGCCTGAGCCGGCTCGGGGTGAGCTCAGGAATAGCGGGGTCGGGCCTGCACCGGGCCGGGCTCCCTGCTGGTTTAGCGGCGTTAACCTCAGAACTGAACCAGCTAATCCAGCACCAGGAGAATCCAGCCCCGTGTCACCATTCCCTGGCTCCAAGCCTCCATTCAGGCAGGGGCTGAGCCTGCAAATACCTTCCTCACCATAATCCCCGGTTTCTGTGCCCAGAGGCCAGCAGCTTGCTCCAGCAGCGATCTTTGGACCTGGAATATCTGCTTGTTCCCATGCAATTCTTCTTGTTTTGGGAGCACAGTGCCCAGCCAGACTCCTTCACTGCTGTGTCCCACCTGTCCCTCTCATGTCCTGCCTGTCCAACCGCTGTGGGGAATGTTTAGATTGTAAAGTTCAGCTTGTAAAGCTGAATATTTCAGATTGTAAAGTTCAGCTCTTTTCTCATTTGGCTGTGATATTTACTTTCTTTGGGATATGTTCATAGAATCCAAGACTAGTTTGGGTTGGGAAAGAACTTAAAGATCCAGTTCCACCCCCTGCCCTGGGAAGGGACACCTTCCCACCTTCACCCCTTGTCCCATGTTGCTCCAAATCCCAATGTCCAGCCTGGCCTTGGACACTGCCAGGGGATCCAGGGGCAGCCACAGCTGCTCTGGGCACCCTGTGCCAGGGCCTCCCTAC